GGCCCTAGAGCCGTCAAAAACGCAAAACAACCAACATCAATGCACAGCTCGGCGACGGCGGTCCCCTGCGCGTGGAGCGTGTGAAGTTCGGGGCATCGTTCGACGAGCAGCTGCAGCCCCGGCCCGTCCACCCATCGGCAACCGGACAACACCAACGTCCGCAGATCGTCCAGCTCTAAATAAAACAATACAACAATTCAAAAAAGAATACAGGGTGTCCAAAGTACAAAAGAATCATTTTTTTGGATTTACATTCATTTCGCCGAATTTTCATCTCGCCGAATGTGAATTCAAAGGTCTCCAACCTATAGATTTTCATATGTAATTCGGCGAAATGAAAATTCGGCGAAAGGAAAATTCGGCAAAATGAAAATTCGGCGAAATGAAGATTCACCCAAAAAAATCCCCCCTACCTAGCGGGCCGGAGACGTGTTCAATTTCTACGATTTTGATATCTATCGAGAGCCCTCGACAAGGCGAGTCCAGCACGCCTTTCGAAATTTTTCGCCGCCGCCAAAACGCCCAATTTTTCGTATTTTTTATGCAACAAGGAGACGCTTTTTTGGCAAAACCCCAATTTAACCGGTTTTGTTTTAGGCGCCACCCAAGTTGTAGTTTTTCAAATGGTTTCAAAAAGCTGTCTGTGCGGTTCCGGAAAAGTCGTTAAAACCCATAAATTGTGATTTTTGTAATAAAAACGCTTTTATCCGAAAAGCATCAGAAATGCAGCCCTTTTCGTAAAAATATTAGTAAGAGTAGGAAAAAATCCGGAAATTCAAAATTTCGAGGGGCGTGCTGGACTCGCCTTGTCGAGGGCTCTCGATAGATACCAAAATCATAGAAATTGGACACGTCTCCGGCCCGCTAGGTAGGGGGGGGGGGGTTGGGACACCCTGTACATACGTGTGATTGCATCGAAGACGTCTTCCAGCCCCTGCGACAACTCCACACCGCTGAGGTCAAGGTGGCGGAGGCCACGCGTGTGGGCCAGCAGCGAGCGGAGATGCTGAAAAAAGGGGTTCAGCAGGAAAATTTGAATATTCCAGCTAGCTGCAATTTCATCGCCTAATCGATTACGCGCTTTTTAAAGCCTTGATGACGCGAAATCAAGAAACCTCACCGTTCCATCGGTGAACACGTTGAAGTCGAGGCAGAGCGTCTCTAGGGCCCAGTGCGAATTCTTGGCGGCTATCTAAAATCAATAAATGGGTTCTGGACTGTTAGCGGGGGGGGGGCGGCTTTTTAGCAACACGGGAAAACCATTTTTTGTTTTTATGCATTTTATAGTGTTTTCGTAGTTTTTGATCGCTAGATAGCTATAAAAATTTTTGAATTTTCTAAATTCGAAAATGTTACTTTTTGCCATTTTTCATAAATCGTTGACAAAAAAGTCAAAATTTCGGAAATTTTTATGATTTTTAGATCCTGTTTCTATCCAAAAAAACTATGTAAAACGCAATAAAAACGTTATATTTTGTTCTAGGGCCGTTTCTAAATTCGCCCCCCGCTAAGAGGCTAGAACCGAGAAATGCCCAAAACCCCCCTACCGTAGCCATCCTCTCGAGATGAACGTCATCGATTCGACAGGCGGACAGTCGTAGTTCCCGGGTGGCCACCAATCTGTCCAGCCACTTTTCGAACGTCGTCAGATCTCGGTTGTCGCCATCGCCGTCGGCTTCTCGTCGCCGTTCAGCCGCCGCGTCAATCAGCCCGGCCCCGCGCAACGAGATGGCATTTGGCAGTGAATAGGCCGGGCAGCCGAGAGAGAATTCACGTAATGCCCCGTCAATGTGGGAGAGCATCTGGAAGTTGGGGTTTTACAAGGTGTTCTCCACCCGAAATGGCCTAGGCCCGGCTTATGCTCATTTTTCCTAAAAATTCATTTTCCTAAAATTCGTCATGTAAATAGGTACGCGTCAAAATCTCAAGTAAGGCCAAATGCTGTCGTTTTTGGTTGGTAAAACACTTAGTTGGCTTTTCTCAAACTTTTTATAGCTAAATCTAGGCTAAATGCAACACTAAAATAATTCCTATACATTGCTAGGCAACTTTCAAGTCATTAGAAAAAAATTTCGTTTTTTTCGTTACTAAAGAACTGAGAAAATGGTCTTGGGAAAAATGACTTTCCGGAAAAATTAATTTAGGAAAAATGACTTCCAAAAAAATCCAGAATCGACTAAAAAATCCAAAATTACCTGACTATTCAGTGCGATTCCCTTGCCTCCTTCAAATCGTCCCGTCATTCGGATAGTTTGCAGCAATGTTTCGACGTCTTCATGCGTTGCCCGGGCCCTTCTTCGATACCACGCCTCGATCGAAATGGCCGCCAGTCGGCACTTTAACTTCATCGCATTCTCGTGGCCCTCGAGCTGAAAAAAAAACGAAATGAAGAGAGAGAGAGAGAGAGAGAGAGAGAGAGAGAGATAGAGCCAAATATCCAGTTCCTCACCTGCTCCAGCGACAATTCCCCATCGCATTCGCCATCCCGATGATGCCAACTGTATCCGCCGGCCGCCGTCACGACCTCCTTGATCTTCTCGTGCTCGGCCAGCGCATCGATTCGAGTGTCCCGGTCGAGCGCGATCATGTGGCGCATCGGCTCGCCCGCCTTGTTCAGCAACGGCGTCCCGTTCTCGTGCTCGTACTCGACCTAAACGACAGATCGTAATCGTTGATGAACGCGTCGCGGGTGCGTCGCGGCAACGTACCGTTAGCGTCATCTTGCGCGTCTTCGAGTCGAAGGCGGGCATGGTCAGCGTGGAGCTTGTGTTCAGCGACGTGTTGGCGGTGGTGGTGGTGGTGGTGGCCGGGGAGGAGGTGGATGATAGAAGTGGCGGATGCGAGGGCTCGACGCTACTCCGAATCGAGACCCTAAAAATGATTTTTATAAAGTTGAAGCCGAAACGGTTCTGGACTTTAGCGGGGGGTACTAAATTTTCCCCTGTATTTTCTCCATGGCCCTATCACAAAATATAAATCATTTTTATAGCATGCTATATCGATTTTTTTGATCGTATTTTTGATTATTTGGCCAAAAATGTCTGAAAAATCAAAATTTTCAATTTCCAAAATTTTAAAAATATTTTTTTATAACTTGCTAGAAACCAAAAACTATTAAAAATACGATAAAAATACAAACTATATCACCCAAGGTTCAAAAAGAACAAAACAAGGGTTCCCTCCGGCTAAAAATCCTCCCCCCCCCCGCTAACAGTCCAGAACCAAAATGATTTTCCGGAAGTCGAAGCGACAATTACCTGGACGTCTCGGTGACGGTGGAATATGGGGACATCGAGCCGGCCGCCATGAATGATTGCTGCTCGTCGGGTCGGCCGAAATCCATCATCAGCAGATCATCATCGGGCTGGATCGGCGGCGACTCCTCGCTCTCGCTGCTGTCGATCAGCAACGCTCGTTTTGGGCCGCGGAGGGAGAGGCTGAAAAGACACGGTTCTTTTGCATTAACGGGGGGGGGGGCTGCTTTTTTCTAAGGTTCCAATTTCCAATACAAATAACAAAAGTGCTTCGAAAATGTTTTGTTTTGGTAAAATCTAACGTAAAATCTTTACAAATTTATCAACCAAAGATAAAAATATCGATTTTTCGGCCAAAGATGGTTTGTAACCAAAATTTTGTCATTAAAAATTATTTGAAAAAGATTAAGTGGTTTATCTAGCTAATATCCAGCTAAATTTCACTAAAAACACCATTAAAATTCGTCCTTACTTTTAATTTTTTTAATTTTATTTAATACACTTAATTTATAATTAATTTAATCTATAATATATAATTTCTAGAAAAAAAAACGATTTTTGAAAAATTTTATTTAATTTACTTATATAAATAAATACTTTAAATGGTTATTTTTATATAAAAATAACCATTAAAATTCATCCTTACTAGGCATTTTATTTAATACAAACACTTAATAAAATTTATAATTTCTAGAAAAAAATGATTTTTAAAATTCTATTTTTAATTTGCAAAAGTTAATACAAAAAATCCCCCCCCCGATAATGCAAAAGCACCAAAATCCCCGAACTCACTTCAGGGGTTGATCATCGAGCCGGCCATACAGGAGTCGTTCCGTATCCGTGCCAACGCCCTCATCAAGTGTAGCGTCGCCGGGATGGGATCGTTTGTGGAGACGTGGCGGCGGGGACATTCTTGACGGCCTTGGCGTGATGCTCTTCGCAGACTGTAGTGAACGCTCCGATGTTCTCGACGTATCGTGGTGGGAGGATGAGGGCAGCGAGAAACGGGAGCGCCCTCCCCCGCGTTTCTCCACAAACGCCTCAAAATCCGGGTCGTGCGTCTGCTGCGTGGAGGTGCGCGGGCCTGAAAAATATAAATTTAATATCAGATTAAAACTTGTAAATTTCGACAATTTTTAGATTTTTTACTAAAATGACGAAAAAAGGTAAAAATTCTCGGTTTTTCATTATTTTTACAATATTTAGAGCATTTTCTACAGTTTTTAGATTAAAAAAAACTCATAAAATAATTACAAAATTTTACGAAAACCTGCTTTTTTTGTCAAAAGTGTGCGAAAATGACGAAAAAAGGTCAAAATTCTCGGATATTGGCAGATTGACAAAACTAGCCCCCGCCCCCCCCCGCTACCAGTCCAGTACCAAATTTTTTGATAAGCTTTTTATATACGAAAATCGTGTAAAAAGGCTATAAAAAATGCTTTATAAATTCTGTGAAGTTAAAACTAAACTTAATTTTTTTTCAAAACTTTTCAAATTAAAATTTCGCCCCCAAAAAATCTAGAAAGAAATCTAAAAATCCCACCCCTCCCCACCCCCGCTAACCACACAGTACCCAATTTTTAGCGCCAGACACCCGGAAGGCGAAAGTGAGCAAATTCTGACCGGTTTGTGTAGTTGGACAGCGGTTCTCGTCGTCGTCGTCGTCGCTGCAGAGGACGTGCGGGACGACGAACTGCAAAGGGGCGCCACTTAGAAAACGAGCTAATCCAACAAACTACCTTATCACCGGTGCGCTCTCGTGCTGCTGGCGGTTTGCGGATTGGGGCTGAGCGCTGGGTGCTTCGGCAGCTGCGTTGAGAGGCCATTGTTGAGGTCTGAAACAAGGAAATTAATTCGCCGTGCATTATCGGGGGGCGTAACGATTTTTCCTAGGAGCGAATTTTGCAAATATAAATAACCAAAGTGTTTCTAAACTGTTTTTACTATCCCTAAACGTAAAAACTGCACAAAATGTCATTAAAAACACAAAATATAACGATTTTTCGACCAAAAATGCGCGTTTTTGACCAAAATTTGATTTTTGCAAATTTAAAATTTTTTAGGTGGTTTTTTAGTTAAAAAATTTTACAAAAAAAGTGCTGATGATGTTACTAGGCATTTCTAAAATAAAACAAAAAACATTGCACCCCCCGATAATGCGAAAGAACCTAATTCGGAGCCCTTTAGCTCTATTCTCTCTCTCTCACCCTCTCTCTCACCTGCGACTGTTTCCCTCGCCCAAGCGTGGCCTTTCTTGCCGGCATTTGTGACGACGACGTGAGATCGATGGGCGCCGGGTTGGAGGCGAAGTAGCCGGCTGAAAAAGAAAATTTGACACAATCGACGGAACTGGGGTGTTAGTGTTAAAAATTATTTTACGTTACAGTTTTTCGACATCAAAGCTTGTAAAAAATTGAAATTTTCGATTTTTTGTAAGAATGGATGAAAAATCAGTAAATCGGTTCAAATTTATGATTTTAAAATGATTTGGATAATCTTCTAGCGATCAAAGCACTACAAAAATACACTATACGATCATTAACCGGTAGGCATAGGCGGGAAAAACGTACCTTTGCGCTGCGCTTGCTCCATGCGCTCGATCAGCTTCCGGGCGCGCTCCTCGTTGCCGCTTGCTGGGAGTTCCGGCGACTTGAGGGCCTTCTTCAGGAAGTCCACCGCCGTCCAGCCCTTCTCGTTGCGCTTCGTCACCGAGGCGCCGCGCCTGCAAACGGGGTAAAAACCTTTGATGGCGTAATTGGATGGGTTTATTTTCATTTCCTCGAAATTTGAGTGCCTTTTTCATTTGGATTATTCATCTAAAAAAATTTGCAAATTTGCACCTAAATTTCGCCAAAATGATTTTCGATAAACCGATAGCAAATCAATTGAATGCTCGATTTATTTATCTTTTTCCTCCATTATCCGGCCCAAAAATTGTCCAAAAACTGACTGCAGCAGCAGCTCGATCGTCTCGAGGTGTCCGTAGTAGCAGGCGCTCATCAACGGCGTGTTGTTCCCGCCCGTCATTTGCTAGAACAAACAGATCTGCGTTTCCTCGAAAAAAGCCCCTACATCGCTGAGGGAATCCCGCGCCATCGGGTCGACCTTCGCGCCGGCGTCGAGCAGTATTCTAAAGGAAGGTTTGAGCTGCAATAAAACGAGCCCACCGAACAATCTCGACGTTGGCCGCCTCGTGGAGGGGCGTCCAGCCGGCGTTGTCCTGCTTGTCCACGTTGCAGCCCTGGAAAAAACACGGTCATCAAATGGAGGTGAAATTCCGCTCCAGGGCGCGTAATTGCTGAGATTAAAATTAAAAAAAATTAAATTAAAAAATTAACTAAAAAATTAAAATAAAAATTAAAAAATCCCGGCAAAATTAAAGCGAAGCACCTATCGCCAAATACAAATTCTTGCAATTTATGAATTTTTCGTGCTTTTGGAGTAGTTAGATCAATTTTGAGAAGCTCAAAATTCTCAAGGGACTCAGGAGCACCGCAAAAAACCAAAACAGACGCATTTTGCGAACTTTCGAAGCTAAACACAATTTTGTGAAAAATTTCCCGAGTGGAGCACAGAGGGGAATACGGTATCCGTCGCCCATTCGCACTACTCACCCATCCAATCAGCTTCCGCAGCGTGTCGACGTCAGCGTCACGGGCCGCCTTGTGCATCTCCGTCTCGCCCCGCGGGTCCTGCTTCTCGCGTCGCGCGTACAACGCGGCCTCGTCTAAAAAGCCACAATAATGGGGAGGAATCGAAGCTATTTTCGTAAAAAAACGAAAGGTCTACTTCCTAGGACTATCGACAAATTGAATTCGCTGCAAAAAGCAAAAAAAACAAACAATTTTTACGAGACAAAAATTGCCTTTTTGGTCCCACTTGGATTACATGTCGTAATACCCTCCATTCTTCGATTTTTGGTGATGCCTGGGCCAATTTTGAAAGCCGAAACAGCGGAAAAATGCTCAGAATCGCCCGAGCATCCCAGAAATGGTGTCAGAATTCTGAACTTCACGCATTTTCACGACGAACTAGGGACAGAAGCCGAAGCGCCGCCGTACCCCAGGCGATTCTAGTCATTTTAGCTTTATAAATTATTAAAATTGACGCAAGAATGACTAAGAAGGAATGCGTTACAGGACATTTACGACACACAATTCACACGGGCGCAAAAAGTCGAATTTTCTGCAAAGACCCGCCGTTTTTACGCCAATATTAGACGTTTTTCGCAACGAATCCCCTTTCCTTTTTTTACAAATAGGTACGTCTATTTTTCTTAATTCCTCTCTTAAATGTTTGTACTAAAATGCTCTTCCACATCGTCTCCGCATCGGGGCTATCCAGCGGGCATTCGCCACATTCACACTCTTCCGTGTCCAGCTCGTCATCGCTGGCCGGGGGACCGCCCTCGAATCGGCTGGCGAACGCGTCGCGCGCATTTTCCTACAAAAAGAGTGGTTACAGAGGGGGATTGAGGCTACCATTTCCTTCTCGGAGATCGGCTTCAGCTGCTCGAGTTTGAGGCGGGCTTCACCGATCGAGATACCGGTGAGGAGGTCAAGTTGATAGCGGGTTCCGCGGGCTGAATCCGTCTGGAAAAGAGGATTTTACTAGAGAGAGGTAGATAGAGAGAGAGAGAGAAAGAGAGAGAGAGACAGAGCGAGAGAGAGAGACAGAGCGAGAGAGAGAGACAGAGCGAGAAAGAGACAGAGAGCGAGAGACAGAGACAGAGCGAGAGAGAGAGAGAGAGGGTTCTATACCGGCAGCGGGGATTTTTCCAGGAATCGGGGATTTTTGCCTGGGATCACAGGAATTGGGGATTTTTGACGGAATAGGGGATTTTTCCCGGAATCGGGGATTTTAAAAAACGGGGAAATTGGCCGAATTTTGGGGCAGTCGAAATCGGTGATTTTTTGAATTGGTGGTTTGGGGGGCTCCGCGACAATTGCGCCGCGGACACTTGCGCCGCGACATTTGCGCCGCGACACTTGCGCCGCGGATCGTATATTGATTTAAACTGCAGTGAATTTGGTATTTTGCGCGAATTTTTTATGTAATTACTGTATTTTGCATTAAAAGCTGACAGAAAGTGAGTAACGCCAATTCGGAGCGTTCCTAAAGGCGTCAGGCAAGGTGGGCCGTCGCTTCGGATGGGCTGCCGCCAGTCTGGGAAAGATAGGGGATAGCGACCATTGGGACCAGAGCCGGGAGGGATAAGACTGGGTTTAGACCAGCGCCGCGGAGCGGCGCGACTTTTTTTTTGAAAAAAATGGGTTTTGGGAGAATTTTGCAGGATTTTTCGGTTGTCGAAAATTATCGATGGTATCTGTGTATGCTGTGATTTCCGTCTCAGATGTCCTACGTAGGTTAAAAACTTTTTTGACGCCAGCTGACTCGGAGCGAACCGATAAAAATAAATCGTCAAAGAAAAATTGCAGGCGACGATTAACGGGAAGGAAACTGAAAGAAGCCGAAGAAGAAGCTGATGAAGGCTCTAAAATGCATTCCTTTCTTATCCTCTCAAGATCCGTATGCTCTTACCTATCTCTGACCTTTAAAGGTTCCCTGATGTGTATGGTACTGTAAAGTTGTAAAAACCCCCGAATTTGTTATCCAAAGTAAAAAACCTCAAAGAGAACTGAAAGCATTGCCGGAGATAATTTTGAAACCAGAATTGAGCCTTCCTAACGAAAAACTTATTTTTTGATCATATCACCCAAAAAATTGTTCCATCAAAAACTCAAATTTTGATTCCAATGACCGATTTACTTCAAACTTGGCCTATTGGTAGATCTGGGTTTACTAATCACTAAGAAAAAATATCAGATTTTTTGTACCCGGTTAAGACCGGTTTTCGGGACCAGCGCCAAATCGACCAATCAGCCGACCAATCAAGGTTTTTCCCGGTTTTGGTCCCCTGAAATATCAGCTACATTGGTTTTAATTGGAATGAAGGTAGCCTAAACGGTCGGTTACCGTATGCCGAAAAGAATATTGAGATTGCTTGCGTCTGCTTCGAGCCTGGGACCAGCGACTGTCAGTTTTTTTGGATTTTGAAAATCGGCCAAATTCGGAGTTTTTCTCTTAACAGTGGGGAGTAGATTTTTAAAAATTTTTCCTTGACGCCCATGATAGAGTAGGATGTGCTCTTTCGAATGACATATCGTACGTCCGGATCCGGCTCCTCTACGCGGAGCATGGGACCAGCGACTCCATTGGTCGAGCCGATTTTGTTCTTGCAACATCCGTTGCTGGTCCCAAAGTGGTCTTCAAATGCACGGAATCGAGTCGTCAGATTTATTCCAGCTTGCTGCTAACGTTCACTTATTCTCAGGGAACATTTGAAGTCGATCCCTTCCAATTCGGTAGAGATAGCCTACTAGTGGCCCCGTGCAAAATCGGCTCGACCAATGGGGTATCAGACTGGCTGCCGCTCCACTCTTTCGAAATCGGGGCGCCTGGCCGCTACGCGCGCCTCGGGCGCCCCGATCTCGAAACCCTGCACGAGCTCGCATCCATCCGAAGCGACTAGGCCCCCGGGTGGCACGAAGCCTTTTTCTAGTCGCAGAGCGGAAGAAGTAGCAATTACCTTCCCTCCAAATCGAGTGACTCCTAGCGCAAAAACATCTTTCTACCAGAATACTCCACGCGAAAAATTGCATCTTCAAGTAGCCGAATCTCGGTATCGCGGCGCAAATGTCAGGCGCAAGTTTCGCGGTGCAAGTGTCGCGGCGCCCGATTTCGACTGCCCCAAAATTCGGCCAATTTCCCCGTTTTTTAAAATCCCCGATTCCGGGAAAAATCCCCTATTCCGTCAAAAATCCCCGATTCCTGTGATCCCAGGCAAAAATCCCCTATTCCGGGAAAAATCCCCGATTCCTGGAAAAATCCCCGATTCCGGGAAAAATCCCCGATTCCTGGAAAAATCCCCGCTGCAGGTATAGAACCAGAGAGAGAAAGACCGACACCAACCTCTCCGCCCTCCTTGCCCAACTCGGCCAACCATCGCGCGCACACCTCCTGGCCGGCCCGCACAAACTTTGCGCGCTCCTCCTCTTGTTGCGCATACTTGGCCGCATCCTAAAAACATAGAATTCTTCCTCCACCCAAAAAAGATGCGCACCAAGTAGCTGGCCGCCAACGACTCGTACGCCTCCATTTTCCGGGTTCCCCGCGGCGCATACTCGAGAAAACTTGGCGTAGTACTTCGTGGCCAGCGGCAAGATTCGAAGCCCCGTCAGGTAGTCGCCGATCTAAAAAAAAACAGAAATAAAACAATTCACAAAAGAAAATCCACAATTTTTCTTAGAATCCAATTTTTCAAATATAAATTGCGGAAGTGTTTCTAAACCGCTTTTGACTATTGGTAAGGTAATTACTTTACAAATTTGTATGAAACAGAACAAACATTAAAAAAAATCGATTTTCTATCAAAATTTCGACTTTTTCAATTTTTTTGGTGGTTATTCTAGTTCAAACAAATATATCACAATTATAATTCTATTTCACAAAAAAGACTACTAAAATACTTCTTATCAAGTTACTAGCCGTTTTTTGAAGTTTAGACAAACAAATTCGATTTAAAAAAAAAGACAAACAAGTTGTTTATGTTTAATAGACAAAAATTAGGAGCAACGCCTTCAATGCTAAATTAATCACCTTTTCGTAGTATTTTCCAGCCTTGAGGGGCATTGTGGCCTCCATCGCCGCGGCCGCCTCGATGCAATTCCGTAGACGCCATACTACAAAAAAACTTTGAAAAACTCAAAAAATTGCCCAACCGGCCACAATGGTCTTCTGCGCCTCCCTCTGGTCATCTCCTAGCTCTTTGACGTGGACGATCAGCTCGTAGCAGACCCGTTGCGCCTCTTTCCAGTCCCCCTTGTAGTAGAGCAGAGCCTGAATAAAAAAATATGGATTAAAATTCAGAAAAATACCTTGACGCAGTGAAAGCGCGCGAGCGCCTTTTCCTTGGCTTTGAGATGGACGGCCGCTTGTCCCATCTGTTTCGCCAGCTCCATCTAAAAATACAAAATAATACCGGTAATTTCCGAGCTGTTTTCGGTCCTTTTGCAATACCGGGGGGGGGGGAATAAGTTTTTCCTAGAAGTCCAGAAATGCCTATTAACGCAATAATTATCCTAACTGTGTTTTAGTAAAAATCAATTCGATTTCAACCGAAAAACAGGTTTAAAAACTTATAAAATTTTTTAGGTGAATTTTTGGTCAAAAATCGCCAATTTTTGACGGAAAAACTGATTTTTTTTATGTTTTAATTAAAATTCGTAGTTTTCACCTACAAAAATCGTAAAAAAACAAAAGCGTTTGAAACCAAAAAAACACACTTCCGCTTTTATATTTGAAACCTAGGATCCTCAGAAACAAAAAGGTTGCCCCCCCCCCCGATAATGCGAAAGCGCCCTTTTCTGAGCCGGCCTTCACCTTATTCGACCAGGGCCAGTCGAACTGGTTGAGCAGGGCGCTGAACATCACGTCGTACTCCTTGCGCTTCCTAAAAACATACTAAAAAAAGGTTTTTACGCCTGAAATCAAGCGCCGAAATTCCCAAAAAATCGCTGCTAGTTTGCCGATTTTTCAGTTGCAAAACGATTGTCACAAAGAAATTCTATACGCTGAAAAAGCCGATGAAAAACGTTCCTCGATCTGCCCCAGGGCGGTAAAAGTCAATTTTTCGAAAGATTTCGACGCGACCGCCGGCCGCCCAGCCCGCCCGGGTTATTTTTATAAAGCCGAATTTCATAGCTGCGTATTTTATAATGCTTGCAAGTCTTCTCCAAGACAATTTTTGTTTTTGACTGAAGTTTCAAATTTAAAAAATTAACTTTCAATTCGGCATTATGAAATTTGACGTTTTTTTTCTCCTGCTCACCCAGCCGAATTGAAGGCGGCCTGTGCGTGCCTCGTCGCTCGCTCCTTCTCGCTGATCTGGCCGTAGAGCAGGGCGAGCATCGAGTGGAGATTGGCCTGCCGGGTCACCGAGTCGCCGCCTCGATCAACGTCTAGAAAAGGCCATTCTTGAAGTGAGGCCGCCCGGAAACGGCGCCAAGACTCTTGCGGCCCGAAATTTTTCCCCGAACAGCTTCCGGTTTAGTTTTAGAATTTATGGCGCTTCCGTGTTAGCGGCGGAGCAATTTTTAGCGGGGAAGCAAGCAAATTTTTTAAATGAGCTAGTAGCTGCCTAGTAATCAATACAAAAATGTTTTAATAATGTTTTTCGTAGCTTTCGACACTAAAACAGTATTAAAATATTAAAAATGTCATTGATACATCTTAAAAATGCGAAGTTTATGACCAGTTTTGGGTCGTTTTTCATAATTTTTTTGACTAAAAAAGTAAGTTTTTTAACATTTTCTAACTTTATTTAAAGGTATTTTAGAGGAAAAACATTGTAAAATGCTATAAAAACTGTTTTTAATCTAAATCCTAAATCCCATCGCAAAAAAAATTTGCTCCCGACCGGCACGGAAGCGAAATTCTTCGTTTTCGTCATTTTTGTACTATACGCGCCCTGATAAGCGAGACATGACTTTGAAACGTATTCAAACGGACGTGGCACCGTTTTGAAACGTAGTTTTTGGGCCGCAAATGTCGGTCAGCCCGTGAAATCCATTACCTTCTTTCGACTCGTCTATCAACTGTCGATTGTCCCGGATATATCGAAAGCTCTGCTCGGCCCAGTCGATGCCCTAGAAAATCCGAAAAATTGAACCGAACACAAAGCCCAACCTTTCGTGTAAGGTTCACAAATTCATCTCCTTCCTTCCGGATAGCCGCCACCACTTGATACACCTGAAAGCAGATTTTGACGACGTTAACAATATCGACTCACGTATCCGCTGGTGTGTAGGGAGAGCTGAATCTCCGATGGCCAATCGGATTCCCGTGCCGTGTCGCGGTATTCTTTTGCATACTTCTCGGCCTCCTCCAGATTGTCTAAAAAGAAATTTCCCAAAATATCTCTAAAAAACAAACCCATATCGGCGGAGACTTCGGCGATGGCGCGCGAGGCCAGGCATCGGTTGAATTTGTCACCGCGTGCTCGGGCTGAAAAAAAACGAGTTTTGGGGCTTCGTTGATCGCGGAAATTCGCGTTTAACTTCTCGAAAGGCCAGGTTTTTGGGTGATTTCGGAGCTTTCGCTGCCGATCACGATCACATCCATTAAAACTTTATTGAAAAAGCTGAAAAATCAGAAATTTCGGATTGGTTTTGGTCCTTTTTCATGTGTTTTTGACCAAAATGAACGCATTCCACACTTTTTTAATTCGATTGAAAGTAATTTTCACTTAAAACAGCTTAAAATGCTATAACATTGTTTTACTAAGTCATATTTTAATTGCTTCGCCTCTTTAAACGCTTTCAGACTATAAAAACTTGATTCTAGACGACAAAAACTAGCTTTAGAGTAAACGCCGCAAAAGGGTACCAAGTCGCTGAAAATACGCGAAACAACGTTTCACGAGTCGAATTTTTGTAATTTGTGGTCTAAAGTTAAGCTTTTTCGGTCTAAAATGATGAAATTCGAACTCGGCACACAAAAAACAGCCCGCTAACTTTTTTTTTAGCGAAGCCGATCGGGCAAGATTTTTAGCGCTTTTTTAGGCTGAATCGCAACCAAAACAAGTGCTCACCCATATTCAGGCATTCCTTGAATTGCTGAATGGCTGCCTCCTTGTCCCCGTCGGCCTTGTGCTCATTCCCAAGGTCCAACAGGAGATCCATTTGCTTCTCGGCGTTCCCATCGCGTTCAGCCTTCTTCACGAGGTCTTCGAGCCCTAAACGATGATATTAGAGGGAGCGAACGGCGACCTACGTTTGATTTTCCGCATCGGATGACCGGCGGGAGCTGAAAAGAAAGCGTTAGAGAATTTCTCAAATTTTTCAAGGCGAAGAAGAACAAAACGAAAAATGACCTGAAAACCCAAAAAATCTAGTTTATTTCTTCAGAATCGTGGTTAATTCGCGCAAGCTCTATGCCTTTCCAAAGACAATAAGCTAATTTAGCACGGTGAGCAGGGGTCAAAGAGGGCAAAACAATGTGGGCCATTTTTGCGGCTAATCCAGGGCAATACTCAACTCCTAGGCTAGGCCAAGTTGAAGCGCCAAATTGGGCTTGAACAAAGCTAAGCCGAAGCCAAAAGCGGTGAAGCTGTGACAAAACGAAGATCTTAGAGACCAAAAATACCAGTTTTTAGCATTTTTAAAGGGCACGAAACACGAGAAATTTTCTAATTTCCCTTTGCAGATTCGCAACCGGTTTTGACATGGAATTCGGCTCACAGGCTTTTTCAAAGGGGCCCCCCTCGCGCCAGCCCATCCGTTCTGGCGAGTGTCTTGCCGCCGAGGGGTTGGGGCCCAATATTGCCGGCTTTGGGCCCTGGGCTTCAAGAGATTCGCCGATGAAACGGGCCCACCACCAAATCGAGCCGGGCCCCGACGCCGGACAGCCGGAACCAGGTTATCTGACCATTTTTTGGGGGGAAGAAGTATTTTTTTTCAGCCCCGGGGACGAGTTCGCTGCCGCCACACGGTTCCTGGGTGTTTCTCGACGAAAATGGCATCCCGGGTGTAAGTTTTTAACCGGTTAACCCCGAGATTTTACTTTGGCGCTGTGTTCCACCGATTTCCCACGGTTTTTCCCCGATTCTCGGGTAGTTTGGCGTTCTGGGCTCGCTAAACAACGTCAAAAACACAAAAACAAGGTTGATATTAGGCCAAAAATCTGAGCTCAGCGCGGCAAACTATCCTAGAATGGATGGAAAAACGAGGCGGAAAATCAACAAAATCGAAACTTTTAAACGCACTACGTTTTGCACCTCTTTGCGCCCATCTGTTCTCATTTTCGAGCGTAATCCAAGAAAAAACTGTGTTTTGCGAGCACACCCAATACAGCTAAACAACGAAGGTCCAGGGCGAGGGCCGGCTACGGCATAATTCAAATGACGTAGCGACGTAACGAGTAGCATAACGTACCATCTCGTTTGCCAATAATTTGAGCATATAATAAATTCTTAGCAAAATAAAAGTTTTAACTTTTCATTTGTATTTTATCGTTTTCAGCATACTTTTTTTACCCAGGTCCCGAAATTTTGGTGTTTCCCGGATGAATTTCACCAAAATTTGCTTTTATCTCGAGAATTTGACATCCTAGGTAATAAACGAGCTCATTTTCAGAATCAGCACAAAAAATAGTCTATTTTGGGTACCCTAGCAGGCCCGGATGTGGCAAAACAGCACGTAAATCCACAAGGTTGATGCGCGAAAATCGGGCCTTTTTCAGAACGGAAGATTTCATGGATCGAATTGGCCGTTTTTATGCTCAAAAAAATCCGCGATAATTTGTTCCCTAAAATCAATCATGAAATGGTTGATGAAAAACGAGTTTTAAAGAGATTTTTAATTATTTCTAACTTTTACTAGCATTTTTCGCCCCCTCTCGGAGCCCCCAGACCCGACCAAACCCTTTTACCCTAATGCCGTGACCCAATGACCGTAGCCCAGCCCCCTTTTGCCCCACGTAATCGCACCAGAAAATCCGCCCAGCGATAATACGACACAATCCGTTTACGAATTCCGTAATGAGTGTCCTTGGACTTCGTTGCAGGTTTAAGTAAGGCTGTAGGGGCTGTGCGAGTTTAAATTAAACTTTTAAAAGTTTTTCAAAAAGTAGCTTTTATTATTGCAGTTTTCGTGCCTTTGGAGTGGATGCGGCTGGACGGGACCGGATGCGGCCACTTTTACCGCCCATTTCAACGGCCATCGCGACCCATTTTTCGGTATGACTTTTGCCGCAAACTTTGCTATCATCTTTTCCAGTGCCGTTCCCCTGCCAAATCGTCGGCTGCATGCTGCAACTGAGCAGCTATCAAAGCTACTGCTCCCACAAGGCCCTCCACCTGCACCACGTGCGCAATTCGGGTTGTATTGACGTCAAATTTAGGCAAGATTGGCGTGGGAGGGGCTGCAACGGCTCGTGCAGGACGATTTCTTCAAGGCGTACGGGAGGTAGCGGCATTCTTCTTTTTTTTGTTATACAGCTTTTTAGGTGCGCTTTCCCCTCGATGTTCTCGATCAGCTACAATGGGGACCCGGTGCAATGCCGATATGGCAATTGTGGGGTAACCTATTAGCTTTTAACTTATTTTTTGCCTTTTTTAGATCCAATTCTCGGAGATGGACACGTTTATCAAGCATGTCAAAGGGCATCTACGCGACGCGAAACGAGTTGTGGTAGATTTCAGGCTGTTGTAGAGTTTTTCTGTTTAGGGCGAAGAGCGGGCAGAATTTCACTGCGGCTGGGAGGGCTGCGACTACCGGAATCCAAATCGAAGCTGCTTCAGGTAGGTGGCAAAAAACGTTAGAATTGGATTTCGCTGTTTTCACACGGCGTTTCTCAAGTTCAAAAATGTCTGATAACGTAATACTAACGGTTTTAATAGTTTTTTTAGTAAATTTAGCTATCTTTTAAGTTTAAAAACAGTAACAAAGAGCTTAGAAAAACTTTTAAGCTCGATTTTGGTCGAAAATCGGCCATTTTTGATTGAAAAATCTAAATTTTTGTATTTTTTTACCCAAATTTGGACGGTTTTTATGTTTAGGAATAGTAAAAATACTATTTTAGCAACCTGCCCCCGCTAATGCGCAAAAAGCGCCTTTCAGACAGCACATGCAACGGCACACCGGCGAGAAGGTGGTCGCCTGCCCGTATTGTGGGCGCTTCTTCTGCACGACCGCCTCCTTCTTCGATCACATGCTGAGGGTTGCGGAAGGGGATTTGGTCAGTTTACCGGGTTTTAAAATCAATTTTGATCAGATTTAGAATAAAATTCACTTTACGCTTTTTTAAGCCTAAAATCCATTCCAGAAATGCACCGTGTGCGACAAATCGTTCGCCTCCACCCGGCTCCTCCAAATCCATCACCGCGGCCACCTCGCGAAGGCGCAGTGCCCGGATTGTGGGGTGCTGTTCGAGTCGGACTACGAGTTGAGGAGGTAACACCGGTTCTTTCGCGTTATCAGGGGGGACTAAATTGTTTGTTGTAAGCCCAGAAATGTCAAATACCTGATAGGCGTAGTGTTTTAGTAAAAATTGAACTATTTTTCGACTGAGAAAGTATCTAAAATTTTGCAACATTTTCGAAAAGTCTATTTTTCGTCAAAATCGCCGATTTTTCAGCTAAAAATCGCAATTTTAGATCGTTTGAAAGTCAAAATTGGTCAAGTTTTTACATTTTACGTTCAATAGTCAATGAAAATTATATTTAAAAGAAAAACTTCCAAAAAATTGCCAAAACGTCGAAAATTTGGTAAAGAATCGATCATTTTGCTCGAAAAATCTGTGATTTTTGGATTTTTCAGGCTCAATTCGTAAAGTTTTTGCTATTAGGAATAGTAAAAACAGTGCAAAATGGATCCTTAGAAAAACGTTAGTCCCCCCCGATAATGCGAAAGAACCGGGGCACCGTCCACTTTCAGACATTCCCAACGGACGCACGCCTCCAAGCTCTGCTTCCAGTGCGCCGTTTGCCAGAAGATTCTCGCCGACGCCGAGACGCTCAACAACCACATGACGATCCATAGGTGCTCTTTAAAATTTGCCGTTTGTTATGGCAGTTTTTAGAGATCCCGCGCTGAAGTGCCCGGATTGTGAGATGGTGTTCAGGTGGAGGAAGCAGTTGGAGAGCCACCGGAAGCGCGAGCACGAGCCGGTAAAAAGCCATTTGTGTTTCAATCCACCCTCTATTCCTCAGGCCTCGAACGTGGAGAACTACGCGTGCGACTGGTGCCCCAAGAAATACCCGAGCGGCACCTCGCTATCAAGGCATCTCAAGTCGGCGCATCAGCAACAAGTCCCGTTCGGCTTTTCTCGGTATGCTTTTTTCTAAAAAGAGACCAAAAAGGTTTTATAAGCCGTTTTTACTAATCTTAAATGTAAAAACTATACCAATTTTCCTTGAAAACTGAAATAGCGATTTTTCGACTAAAAATGGCTTATTTTCGAGAAAATTTCAACTAAAAGCTGTTTTCTGAGTTTTTAACATTGTTTTTCACTTAAAATTGAGTGAACTTTTGCCAAAAAGATTACTAAAATACTGACTAGTACGTTAAGTAGAAAAAACGATGATTTTGGTCAAAAATGGTCTATTTTCAATAAAAATTGCAAATAAAAATGTTTGCAAGTTTTTTAATTGTTTTTCGCTTAAAATAAAGTTAAATTTGGCTAAAGACAGCATTAAAATACGGACTATTACGACTACTTATACGTATTTCCGTTTTTCAGCTTTGTCTACAAGAAGCACGAAGACGGCTTCCATCGACTCCAGCACTCCAAGCTGCTCGCCGGGCCGCTGCTCGATTCTGTCGTCTCGGGCGTCAATCTAATCTGAAAACTTGTAAATATCTTCTGTACTTTGTTGTGATTTTTTTTGTATTTATCGATTTGCAATAAATTTTCTGTTATATGTAAAAGAAGCTGAGACCAGGCGCGGTTGTAAAAACCCCAAAAATCCATATCTACCAATGATTATTGGGATTTTTTAATTCTTTTATTTCAAGTTATGCTTTGCGGATTTTTATCATTATTATTTTAGGTAATGCTGGCGCCGGCACGGTTTTCCCGATGCGCTTCTAGCGTATTTTTGGCTAGGCAAGGATTTGCTGGCTTTTTCTCAACGCTCTTTTTAGAAGAACGCTACTCTCCAGCGCGTTTGCCCTCGACGAAACGTGGGCCGGCCGGCACAAGGACCTCCAGAAGTAAGCAGCTTTTACCCCTAGAAAATCCGTTTTGGTTCTTTTACATTATCGGGGGAGGGCTTTTTTTGAAACAAGTACCGTTTTCTTTTAGTTTCCACTAGTTTTCTACTGGTAGAAAAAAGGTTTGAAAGTTTTTCTACCGATCCAATTTCCTCTAATTTAGATAGGGACAGTGTTTCTAGGCAGTTTTATACTATTTTTAAACGTAGAAACTGATTTTAAAACACAAATTCGAGCAAAAAATGTGTAAAATCCAGATTTTTCGATTGGAAATGGTCGTTTTTGGTCAAAACTTCGTTTTTCTAGTTGAAATATGGTTATATTTTTCCAAAAAACTATTAGAACATTTACGCGCTCGGCATTTCTTACTTTACAGGGGGAAATTCCTCCCGATAGTGCATAAGAACCTGCTTTTTTTAGGCTCGGCCTCGGCGGCGACTACGAATGGCTTGCGACGGTGCAAAAGAAGTTTATTGGAGGCGGTGTCGGCAGGTAAAACGCATCGATTGCTGTCCTGAAACTGTGTGTTTTCAGCGCTGTTGACGTGGATGCGGCGGTTTGTATAGCTGAGCACAAGGATCAGGTTTTTCTGGTTTCTGATCAGGCTTTTCATGCTGATGTTTCTAGGTGGACGATGTGACCGAGCTGGTGTACAAGCTGCGCCACAGCCCCTCGGCCGCCGACCTGTTGCCGTCGACGGAATACGCGCTGTTGCGGCTGCTGCTCAAGCATCAACCCGATCAAGTGTTCCAGCTGGCCGATGATCCGGTAATATTTGGGTTTCTTACGGTTATCTCGAAAATTTCACGGCTTTAGGCTGTTAGCGGGAGCGGAAATTTGCCCAGTAATTCCGTACGTCCTTTGCTCGTACAAATCCTTGAATATAAATAGCTGAAGTGTTTTTCACTGTTTTTTTACTCCTAAACGTAAAAACTTTACAAATTTTTATGAAGAAATGCAAAAAATAGCGATGTTTTTACCAACATTTCGAATTTTTGAAAAATTTTTTTGTAGGTTTTTGGATAGTTTTTCTAGTTAAAATCTATTTGTATTTTACTAGAAAGATTATGAAAACGAAAAACTTCCAGGTTCGGAGATTTTCGAGTTAATGACAGCTTCCCAATATTTCGGTAATTCTTCAATCCCGTCCTTTCAGATCAACTACGGAGTATTCCCCAACGAACACTCGGCCTGTCTGCTCATCGACCACTTTTTGGAGCAGGGCAATACTCAGAGTGAGGGCTTGAGGCTAATTTCTGAATTTTTGCTTTAGACGCTGCCCGCCTGGCCACGTGGGTGATGCTGCAGGAGATGACGGACAACAGTCTTCTCAATCTGTTGTCACTGTATGCCGTCGCCAAGTATGCAGCGAAATAGTTGAAAGATATCCAATTTAGATGGTCCGAATTGCCGGCGGAGGAACGGACGTTGCCGATGAAAGTGGAGGCGGAAGCCGAAGAGGAGGACATCAATGAGGATGATATGGTATTGCTTTGTTTCCTAAAAAAACCACCACTGTAGCGGGCCGGAAAAGTGTCCGATTTTTACGATTTAGGTATCTATCGAAAGCTCCCGAGGAGTTGAGGAGGTTCAGGCTCTTCGATTTTCAAAATTTCCGAATTTTTCCGAAACGGAAATCCCATCAAAAATTTCCGCTGCTTGCCAAATGAAAGGGTTTTCTCATGGAATTTGGAATTCATGGAATCGGAATCATGGAAATTTATGAAGTTTCACGCCTTTGCGACGGCCAAGCGGCTGCTTTTTTGAAGCCATTTGCGAAAATACGATTTAATTGCCAGTTTTTTAGAGAAAAACGTAAATTTTGCACGAGAAATGTCAAAAACCAGCAAAAAAATTTGGAATTTTGAAAATCGAAGAGCACGAACCTCCTCAGCTCGTCGAAAGCTTGTCATAGATACCAAACTCGTAAAAATCGGTCACTCCCTCGGGCCGCTACAGGGTTTTTTTCTGGGACTTCTGGTAATTGTAATACAAAGTAGCTTTCCATTTTTAGCGCACGTTCAAATTCCCGTGGCTGAAAAACGAGTGGAATGACGGGCATTTTGACGTGGTGGAAGCGGATGTATTGGTGGGAAAGACGTTGCGCTGGATGGCCAGAGATACGAAGGAGATCGATGACGCGACACGACGATCGGCCATTGCCCTGGGCGCTCATCTGGCTAGAGAGTACGTAATTTGACCTCCTATTACTGCTTCGTTTTCTTGCAGATGTCTTCTTGGTTCATTCGCGTTATCGGGGCGGGGAGGGGGGCTTAGTTCTCTAGTCAAAATCGACCATTTTTCGGCTAAAAATCGGGATTTTAGTAAATTTGAATAGTCATAATTTTTAAAGTTTTGGAGTTTTTGGGTTAAGTATTAAAATAAAATTATATTCGGACTAGGAAAGCATCAAAATATTCGCAAAAGACGAAATTTGGTCAAAAATCGGTATTTTGGTCGGAAAAAACTATTATTTTGTGTTTTTTAATCAATTAAATTAATTTTAAGGGTATTGAAAAGCAATTTAGAAACATTTACGCTATTTCTATTAAAAAAGTGGGTCCTTAGAAAGAGTTGCCCTCGATAATGCGAACGCACCATAATTGACCTATTAATGCTTCGTTTCATTCCAGATATCCTCTTTTTTTCAGTGCTAAAGAAACGGCTCGTCTGGTGCAATCGGGCTCTGTGCACGGGGCTGTTGCTCAATTCATTGTCTCCCAAATCGAGGCCCACCTCAAGGCGCAAGGAGCCGAAGCTGTCCCCTCCATCCATCAACAGGCCATTCTTGTAGGCGTCTCTGAATTGTTATTTGACTGTTTTTTCTAGAGCACGCTCGGCGCGAAGGGAAAAGCGGATCCGGGGCTATTCTCTGATGTCTTCTTGAAAGTCAGTTCTATTTCCAGTAGATGAACATGGCTTTTTTAGGCGCTTCAAGCCGTCCAGCCGGAAGCGGAGAAGCAGCTGATGGCCCAACAAAAAGCCGAATTTGCCGAGTGGGCCGAGAAAAGGACGAGCCTGGTGCGAGCGCAGGCTGAACGCCTTCTTCTAAAGGTATACTCCCTTTCCCCCCAAATCTCCACCCATTTTTAGGTGAAATTGGAAGACGTGGAGGCGGAGCTGGCCGCGCTGCAATCTCGCGAGGAGAAGCTCAACTTTTTCGAGAGCCGCCTCACCTGGGAGAAGCGGGCCGACGACAACGATCAGATTGAAGCCGTCGAAGGGAAGAAGAAGGCCGCCACCGCTTGATTTGTTTCCATCTCATTTTATTGTTTTTTTTTGCTGTCCTCTTGCCAACGGGTCCATCTAGACACATTGTTCCTTTAGCATAGTTTTTGACTGTTGATTTGTTGATTCATTTATCTTGCTGTTAATAAACATTTTCGTGAAAACTGTGTTTTTATCGGGATTTTTTGAGGCGAATATCGTTGCGAGTTTCTGAAAAACGAATTTAATGTGTGTGTTAATAGGACGTAAGTTCGTGTAATTGGCAAAAATGCAAAATTAGAACCGTAATTCCAGTGTTTAGAGAATGCAGCGTTCGAAGGAACTCGAATCTCGTTGTCGGCTTTGTAAGTTGCGCCTCAATTCGGTTCTGGGCTGTTAGCGGGGGTGCCAAATTTTTGCCTTTTGCCTTTTGCCTTTTTCCTTTCTTTTCCAAATTTCTCTAAAGCCGTATAACAAAATATAAACCATTTTCATAGCATTTTACCGAGTTTTTGGATCTAAAAATAATACAAATTTTCGAATTTTTTGGCTGCTTGGTCAAAAATGTATGAAAAAAGCACCAAAAACCAAACTTTTCTAAAAGCTTTTTTTTTTGTAACTTTCTAGAAATCAAAAACAACTAAAACACTATAAAATCAATAACGTGCCCCCCCCCCCGCTAACAGTCCAGAACCGTTTCACCGCAGTTGGATGAGGGAAGAGAAGGTTTCTAGTGGCCGAACGAGTGACGGACAGTGTTCGAATCCTCGACCATGACCCCAGTCTTGCCTTGTACAGGTAGGAGGGTAATGGGCAATGCAGCAGAGACCCTTTGCGGGCTTCTAGCTAACAGACAATTTTGGATTTTTTAGGATTCGGCTTCAATGCTTTTTTCGGCGTTCGTTTCTAATTGTTTTTAGAAATAACGGATTCGTTTATAATTGTTTTTCACTATCCCTAAGCATCTAACTTTCGAAATTTTCATTAAAAATTTACTTTTAGATCGAAAAATTCATTTTTTTTGACCAGCAACGACTCGTTACTAACGAGTGATTTTCGACTTTTTCAAGCCTTTTTCCAAGTTTTTGAAAGTTTTTCTACTTTAAGTATAGTTAAAACGTACTAAAACAATGTAAAAACATTTTATAGTTGACTACTAGGCCAAAAGGGACCGCCAGGTAAAAAAACCGAATTTCCAGACTTCAAGAACATGTCGGCCGCACCCTGCCATCGATCGTCCAGAAAAAAATCGCGCTTCAGGAAGTCCAGCAGCAACTGGCCGGCGTTCAATTCGATCTCGACAATGCGTTAGGGTAATTCAGATCTCGAAATGGAAAAGAAATGGCGATTACAGAACGGTGGAAAATATGAAACGAGCCGGGCCATCGTTCGAAAAATCACACGAATATCTTCGGAATTGTATGTACTACAAGCAACAGATCGACTACGAGGTTCGTTTTATGCTGGTAGACGAGCTTGGAAATTAGCCCTTTTTTGCTAAGCCTGCCGCGCAAGTTTGATCTGCTAACTTCGTACCAAAGCCTACGGCGCAAGCTTGAGCTGTTAGCTTCGTTCCTAAGCCTGCGGGCAAGCAAGCAAGCCTTATTCCAAGGCCTTCATGCCAGCTTCGTTCTAACAATAAGGCTTGCTTGGACAGCAGGCTTAAGAACCAAGCTCAAGCTTAAGCTTTCGCCGCCGGCTTAGAAAAAGGGCCAATTTTCAAGCTTCTGTCGCAGGCTTCAAGACGAAGCTAGGTCTTGAAGCTTACGCCGAAGGCTTAGTAACGAAGCTAATGCCTGAAGCAGGCTTCAAAACGAAGCTAAGCTATGAAGCTTACGCCGCAGGCTCCAAAACGGAGCCAGGCTATGAAGCTTGTGCCGCGGGCTTCAAAACGAAGCTCGGGTAAGAAGCTTGCGTCGCGGGCTTGAAGAAAAAGCTAGCTCCTGAAGCAGGCTTCAAAACGAAGCTCGGATAAGAAGCTTGCGTCGCAGGCTTCAGAACGAAGCTTAAGAACAAAGCCAATTCCCCAAACTTTCGCCGCTATAGGACAGAATTAAAGAGGATGGAGAAAAGTTTAGAAAGCGCGCAGTATCACGGCGACCGAGGCGTCCAAGACGGCCAAAGGACGCAGCAAGTCTTTTCACGGGCAACTCGAACGGAACTAATCTTTCATTCCATTGTATAAAGTGTAGATATCATAAATAAATAAATATAATTTATTATGCCACGGACAGCTAGGGAGACTTGCCGAATTTCTTCTTCAACTCGACGACGGTGTCCCGCCAATCGGCGTCGAATTGGGTGAGGCACTCGTCGCCCACCAGGTCAAAGTGCACCGAGCCTGACGCGCTGCCCGAGGCGCACTGAATTTAGGGGTATTTAGAATTGAGGGCACTTTGGCATTATCGGGGGGGGGGGTAAGAATTTTTTCTTAGGACCCAATTTTCAAAATATAAACAGCGAAAATGTTTCTAAACTGCTTTTTATTATTCCTAATCGTAAAAACTTTACAAATTTTCATAAAAAGCATACAAAAATATCGATTTTTCGACCAAAAATGCCCGTTTTTGAGCAAAATTTCGACTTTTTGAAAAAATTTTAGTAGTAATTTTTAGTTTAGGTATTTTTCCAGTTAAAACATAGGTTTATTTTACCAGAACCTAGTTGAGAGGGGGAAATTACAAGACGGCTACCTGTACGGCTTGATCGGCCTCGTCGCAGAAGCGCGTCTTCAGCCCCTGCGTGTCCATATGGGCGGCAAAACCGGGGTGCTTCACGACGTCGGCGCCGAATGTCTAGAAAAATTCGTACTGGACTGTTAACGGGGGGGGATAAGTCCATTTTCTAGTAATTTATAGTTTAAAACGCTCGTAAAAAATTACAAGAAATTTGGGTTTCGCTTTTTGCCTCAAAAAAGTCCAAAATTTTCCATTTAAAAATCTTTAAAAAATTTTATGAACGTTCTAGCGATGAAAGCCTACTAAAACATTAAAAAAGAATTGAATTTCCCGTCAAAAACGCATGAAAATGGTCTAAAAATATCAAGATTATTGACTTTTCAAATTTTTCAAACCTTTTCGTTGCTTTCTACGAATCAAAAATACTAAAAACTTGATAAAAATATTATAATATTAACAATAGACGGCAACCCCCCCCCCGCTAACAGTCCAGCTCCAGGTGGACGCCCACCTCTCTCATCATGTGCTCGCAGAATTGCTCGGTGGAGTCGAAGATGCCCTGGAAGCCGTCGTAATCCGCATTCGGCAACGGGTTCGCCAGGGTCAAGGCAAAAAGGGCCGCCAGTAGTGTCCACGCGTACATTTCAGCTTTATTTTGATCTAAATGTGTTTTTTTACGATTCCTAAACGTGAAAATTTTGAAAAAATTAATGAAAGATACAAAAATATCGAATTTTCGACGAAAAATGGACACTTTTTGCCAAAATTACGACTTTTTAAACATTTCTTAAGGAGCTTAGAGAGTTTTTCTAGCGTAATTTTATGTTTTTTAAGATTCCTAAACGTAAAAATTTTGAAAAAATTTATGAAAAATACAACAATATACCTTTTTCGATGAAAAATGGACGATTTTTGCCAAAATTTTAACCTAGTTTTTTAACAACAACTTTTTGATTGTTTTCACTGAAAATGTAGTTAAATTTTACAAAAAAAACACTATTAAAACACTGACTATGCTATTATTTCATTTTGGCGGAATTTCAATGAGCCAAATTCTCAATTTTCGAAACGTTTTAGAAGAATAATCGAGGCGAAAAAGGCATTGAAATTTCGACAAAATGAACATCAGCCAATCCGGGGCACAACAAGTTTATGTTGCCCGTAGCAGGCAAACGAATCAAATGTTTTTAGGGCAAGATTGGTTTGGGTGATGATCAACAGCGAGGAGGAAGAGGTGGAGGATGAGGAGGAGGAGGAGGAGGGGGAACGCGAGCTGGAAAACTGTCTCCCCCACCGACTGACTGACCAAAACCAGATCCGTACAAACATACACACACCGCCGGCAAGTCGTTTTCCCGGCGGGGAGGGGGGGCGACGTCCCGACGGGCATGAACGCCGAGGAACGGGTTTCTTGCATTCTAAAACACTACCCACGCATCATATGCCTGGAAAATGTACGGAAATATTATCAGGGGGTTTAGGCTTGGCTGAGGCTTGGGCTTAGGCTTAGGCTTAGGCTTAGACTCGGCTTAGGCTTAGGTTACCTTAGGCTTACGTTAGGCTTGGGCTTTGGTTTAGGCTTAGCTTTCGGCTTAGATTAGTCTTAGGCTTAGGCTTAGGCTTAGGGCTTAGGTTTAGGCTTAGGCTTATGTTCGGTCCAGGTTAGGCTTAGCTTTCGGCTTAGGTTAGGCTCAGATTTCGCTTATGCTTAGGCTTAGGCTTAGGCTTAGATTTCGCTTATGCTTAGGCTTAGGCTTAGGCCTAGGCTTAGGCTCAGGCTTAGGCTTAGGCTTAGGCCTACGTTTAGCTTTAGGTTTAGGCTTCGCTTAAGCTTTGGCTTAGGCGTAGCGTTCGGCTTGGCGTAGGTTTAGGCGTAGGCGTAGCTTTGGCTTAGGCAGAGGTTAGGCTTAGGTTATGCTTAGGCGTAGGCTTATTTTACACTGGTTTTTGGTAGAAAAAGCTCATAAAAAGTTCTATTTTTGACTTCTCGGACAGAAAATTTCCTAGATTTTCCTGTTCCGAGGCACAGCGGAATGACGTTTTTTCGTAATATGGAACGTCGCGTAGGGTGTTTCTGGTTTCAGCATTTTTATGGGAAAAAAGTATCTTTCCCCCAAATTTTTTTTGTTTATTTATTTTTCTTTTTTTCCAGGCAAATTCAACTTCCGTTTTCCAGGTACGCTTGACGGAGGAGCGAATCAACTGCGGACCGGCGGCAACAGCAGCGACGAAGGGTGCAGCAACGGCCAACACTTCGGCAATGTGGCGCGATATGGCGAATCGGGATCGGCAGCCAGGTTTAATGGGGGGAAGTTTGTTGGTGCTTGTAGCACTTTTTAGCTAGGCATGAGGGGGTTTGCTATAACTATTTTGTATGACTTTATTTTAACCTGACATTAAAACCCTTGGTAGATTTTTGGATGCTCTAACGGATGGCGTAGACAAAATATCGGAAATAACTCGAAAATATCGAAAAATAGCCGCTCCGCCTCGGCTTGACTGGCGATTTTTGTTTTTACTGTAACGATTTTTAGAATCGGATATTTTCAGCCACAATAAGAAAGCTCGTGGTAGTTTTCTTTAGTTTTCGATGTAGTTTTCGATGCTCTATTGAATAGCGTTGCGAAAACCCCGCAAAAATAACGAGAATTGTGCCTTAATCGATATTTAAAATCGAATTTTATCACTTAAATAGCCCCACGCTTTTCGCAGTTTTAGCCAGGGGCTGTTGTCTAGTTTTCGGCTTGTGTAGCCAATTGTTGTGTATGGTGACTGACCCCGGGGGGTGACTCATCTTTTGCTTATCCACGCCGCTCGCTGTCTTTCATTACACACGCAGATCCTCGGCTTCCGGCGGCAAAAAGGCACCCTGGTCCCCCGTGTTCGTCGTGATTTAGGCATTGAAAACCATTCATTCTGAGGGTATCGATCATTTAAAGGTTGGATGAAACAATGAAAATCGTAAAAGGAAGAACTGGCTGAGATTCGTGCGCTAGGGCTTTTTGTTGTTGATTGTACTGGGGGGGTTTGAGTTGTTGAGCAACGACAAGACGGGCTTTTTTTGGGGGGACACCGGGATATGCGTAGAAACGAGCAAGATGGTAGAAAGGGACGAGAAATATCATCGAAAATTCGGTTCTTCCCGTTTAACAAGGGCGCGGCGCAATGTTTCCCCAATAACCAAATATAAACCATTTTTATCGCATTCTAGACGTTTTTTCAATGTAAAAAAAACTCAAGAAAAATGATAAAAATGTTCTGTTTGGCCGGTTTTCTTAAAAAAGAATGAAAAAGCCGGAAAAAGGTAAAAATTTTCAATTTTCTAGCAAGTAATAAGTCCTAACGCCCTCATAATGAAATAGAATCTTTTTATAGCATTAACTCCTGAAAAATTAGCAAATTTTCGTAAGAACTGCCCAAAAAAACGTAAAAATTTCGATTTTTGAACAATTTTTGCGGATGTTTATAACTTTCTCGCAAACAAAAGCTAGTGAAAATGTAAGAATCAGCCCCCCCCCCCGTTAAGCGGAAAGAACCGAAAATTACTGGAGGTCCAGGATTTTTAGATAGGGCAATGCTACCGGAATTTTAGGTGGAAATTTTTTGAGTTCGTGGGATGGCACAGCTGGGGCTCAGAGGCACTTGTAATTGAGGGCGAGCTCGGCGTGGTCCCACATGTGCGTTGAGGCCTGCAACCGGGTGAATTATTGCGGCCCCGATTCGGCCATTTGAAAATGGCGGTACTGTAGCCCCTTTTTTTGGGTTTTTTTTCTTCTCCGAAAGTCACCACTACCCCGAATGAATTTGCATGGTTTTCATAGAAATTCCGAATGAAAACTGGCATTTTCCGGGATAACGAATTTCGGGGTAGTGACCGGACGCCCTTTTTCGACCTCAAAAATCCGGCAATAGACTACTTACCCTCCGGAATCCGGCCGGACACGTACAAAACGCGAGCGTGTTCGTCACCGACGCCAACGTCCAGCCCGTCTCGTGCGCATGGCCTGAACGGTGCGGATTTTGCTTTTTTTCTATAAGCTCAGAAATGCCTCGTAAGGTAATAATAATTCTTTTAATAGTGTTATTAGAAAATTTGACTATATTTTAAGGGGGAAAATAAAGAAAAGGCGTTTTTTCAGATTTAGTTGAAATTTTGGTTGAAAATCGGCCCTTTTGGTCCAAAAAATCAATATTCTTTTGTGAAATTTGTAGTTTGTAGTCAGAATCTGTAGTTTTCACATTGGAAAGGGACCTGCTAGAGCAGGTACTGGACTGTTAGTGGGGGGGCTGAGCCTTTTTCGTTTTTCGAAACGAAAAGAACTGGGGTTTTTCGTCTATACCTTACTGTTAATAATAAACAATGTATTTTACAATGTTTTCCCGTGTTTTTGAATGCTGGAAAATTCCGAAAAGTCGAAAATGTTTACCTTCTTCGTCATTTTTCATACATTTTTTAGCAAAAAGGGAAAAAGAAGCTTTTCAGAGGTTTTTTATGGGCTTTTTCTAGGGAAAAAGCGCGGTGTAAAATGCTATAAAAATTGTTGATAATTTGTTACAGGTTCGTAGAGAATCACAAGGAGAAATTAGTCCCCCCCCCGCTAACAGTCCAGTACCCTCTAGCAAAAGCCAAGTTAGTGGAATTATAATAGTTTACCTATGACCCGTAGAATGCCTCTGCGCCCCTTGCACTCGTTGGGTATCTGGGCGGCCGGCTCTTCGCAGAAGTGCAGCTGAAAGTTGTTTTCAAAATTTTCCTAGGGCTTTTTTGTAGTTTGTAGCTTGTAGTGTGTATTTTTTGTAGTTTGTCGTTTCTGGTTTGCCGTGTCTAGATTTTTTTGAAGTTTGTAGCTTGTAGTTTTTGTAGTTCCAATAAATCGCGTCCGGAAACTGACCGTGACCGAATCGTCGAGCCGCAACGTTTTCGAGCTGTCCTCCATGTCGCACGTCTCGTTGTTGGCGCACGTGCACAGCTCGAAGTTCTGCAACCGGCTTCGATTACGTGGGCGGTTCTTTCGCATTATCGGGGGGAGGTGAATTTTTTGGAGCCAATTTTTCTAAACCGTTTTTGCTATTTAGGAAAGTAAAAGCTTTACACATTTTTGTTAAAAAAAACCTAAAAATTGTCGATTCTTCGACCAGAAATGACCATTTTTGACCAGAATTTCGGATTTTTGAAAGTTTTTAGATAGTTTTCTCTTTCAACCTAGTTTTATTTTGCTAATAAAAACTATTAAAATAATTCCTGTGAAGTTAGCACGCATTTCTGGAGTTTTACACCAAATCCCCCCCCCCCGATGGTGCAACAGAACCCGGTGATTGTGGCGTGGGTGCGTAAAAAAAATAAATTTTGCTAGTAAGAGGGATTTTGTGGGGAAATTGATCCTTTTTTAGGTGGCTTTCTTGACAATTTCTCGCCTTGATCTCAGCCTCGGCTGAATAGTCAAAAACTGCGATCGGCGTTAGTAGCTCGTCGTAGAGGGGCGTCACATCGCTCGGTGATGCTCCTGGAAAACGTTACAAATGCTTCAGATTTTTATTAATGACTTTTTTTTGGGGTTTTCGGCGTTTCCATTTCTTCCGGCGAGAGACGTTTTTGATTTCCGGGTCTCAAAAGACGTCTTTCCTCTTTCGCATTAGCGGGGGGGGAGGGGGGCGGGACAATTTTTTTGTAAGTCTAGAAATGCCTAGTAACCTAATTGAAATTATTTTAATAGTGCCTTTCGTAAAATATCACTATATTTGAACCAGAAAGCCATCGAAAAACAGAAAAAAAATTTTATAAAGTCGAAATTTTGAACCGAAAAGCGATATTTTTATCTTTTTTAATACAAATTAGTATGGTTTTCACGTTAAGAATAGCACGATAGAGTTTGGAAACACTTCCGCTATTTATTTTGTATTTTGTATTTGAAAATGGGATCAAAAAACATTGTCCCCCCCCCCCCCGATAATGCGCAAGAACCGTCATAGCTAGCGTACCTGAGCCCTCCTCGGCTTGTACGGTGGGATATCGGGATATCGTCGCGCCACAGGCCTGTACGCGGGAACACTGTTGACAATTCGTAGGTACGAGTAGCACAAGGAGGGGCAATATCCTGAGGCAGCTGGTGAGAAGGTCGGTGTCTGGCATATCGCTAAAGGGTCGTTTAGGAGACGTTGGTTTCGATTTGCCGTTTTTAAAAGGGGAAATTAAAAGTTTTGGAAAATAGGAAAGTGGAATTTTTCGGGTTTGAAAACGCCAGTTTTTCGCAGCAGTGGACTTTTGAAAAAATGAGATTTCGAATCGTCGATTATGGAATTTCCGCCCGGGACCAGTCCTCTCTTGCGTAGAATTTTGCCCTGTACCCGAATCTGGTTTCGGAATTTGCGAAAAGGCTAGATCTAAAAAGTTATGAGGCTTTCAGGGGCCAAAATCGAACCGGAATCAGTGCAAAATTGTAAGCAAGATCGACCTGGTCTCGTCGGGAAACGCCATATTCGGAGATTTTTGGCTTGAAAAGCCTCACCCTTCCGAAACTGCTTTCGGGATTTACGAAAAGAATTAGATCTAAAAACGATGAAGGTTTCAACTGTGATAAATTCCGAAAATGGCCTAATTTCAAGCAGCTTTTGCGTTTTTTCCGCAGGGAAAAGCCTCAGAAATTCTTTAGGCGTTTCGTAGATCCCGGAAGCTGTTTTTGAAACGTCACAAAATTCCGGATAGTAGACTTGGTCCCGGATGGGAAGGCCAAGGCTCTCTCGCGTATAAAAAACCGGAAGCAAAATCGTGAGAAAAGGGCGAAAACGGCCTAATTTCGAGGAATTTTTGCGTATTTTGTATTTTGCAGCAAAAGCCTCATAAATTCCTGAATTTAGGCGTTTCGCAGATTTCGAAAGCAGATTCGGAATCAGCACAAAATTCTTCAGAAGATAGGCCTGGGGGGAACGCCAAGGCTCCCCCATGAAAAACCGGAAGCAAAATCGCGACTGAAAAGCTTCTAAAAACGCGAATCCGAGAAAGATCCGGGGTTTTTTCTAGATTTTTGACTGACATGAGGGTTGAGTGAATGTGTTGACAAGCAGACGAAGAGGGGGGCTGACAGAGACCCTTTAGGAATCTGAGGCGAGTGAAGGGGGGGGGGGATGGGTGGGGCCACAAGTGAAACAGGTGTCACCCGCCCTATGGGATCCCTATGGCCAATACCTCTCACAGATGCGCACGCACAACTGGCCACATCCCCCACCCCCCACAAACATACACCACATGCACCTCAATTCAAAATAGGATTCGGACAACAAGAAAACGAGGGGGATTCGATTCCAAAATATTGACAAGGACAGAAAAACAGGAGGGGGGCTAGCAGGAACAATTTAGCTTGAAGAGCGTGAGGCGATTCTCGCAGGCTAGCAGAAATTATTTTCATTATGGTACTGCACTATTAGCAGGGGGGGGGATTGTTAGCAGTGTGAAAACTAATTTTTTTCACCCTCTGCCTACCTGTTAAAGCCAAATATTGTATTTTCCTGCTGTTTTTGGTAATTTTTGACGGCTAGAAGTCCGAAAAATATTTGAAACATTTTGAAAACTCGAAATGTTCGACCTTTTTTCGTTATTTTCAGACATTTTTGAGCAAAAAGCGAAAAAAAGATTTTTCAAGGTTTTTTTATGAGCTTTTTCTAGCTAAAAACTGTTTAAAATGAGAGTAAAATCGTCAATAATTTTTCATAGGGCCGTACAGGAAAAATGGGAAATATTAGTTCCCCTCGGCCAACAGACCAGTACCGGAAATTATGTGAAAAAGCGCCGTTTAGGATGCGAAAATCTAAGCAACCGGCCAGCTACGAAAATTCGTGGCGCTACGAATTTGACGCTAGAAGCCGGGCACCGCGACAATAAAAGAAGCCCCAATGACGCCGCGGGTCAAGCAACCGCTTTTATTACGTGGACAGCTGCCCGTCTTGCTGGCGGGGGTTGGCCCAGGTAATTTGGCCGCCGCGGTTCGGCCCAAAGTCGCCAATCCGGAAACTCGACGGTTTTTGGATCACCGAAAATTTACCGAAATCGGTATAAAAAACGGACGCGATTTTGGTTTGGGCGCTGAAAAAATGCGGGCCGAAAATCATCGTCGATTAGCCAGCCAAAAACGGCAATTTCGGTGCTTCTTACTTTTTTTTGAAGGACCCAATTGTTCTAATATATATAGCGAAAGTGCTTAACTATTTTTTACTATTCCTGGACGTAAAAACTAACAAATTTTTACAAAAAAAGCCTAAATACAGATTTCTCGACGAAAAGTGAACTTTTTAAAACCAAAATCTCGAATTTTTGAACAGTTTTTAGCGTTTTTAGATAGTTCTTATAGTGGAAATCAAGTTTTATTGTTTTAAAAACATTGTAAAAACACTTACTATATGTTACTAGATTTTCTGGAATTATCCAGAAACGCCGCCGCCCCCCCACCCCGATAATCGGAAAGAACCCAGATCGAAGCGCGTATCGCGTTCGCGCCTCGATGAAGCCCATTTACCCGCCGGACATTTCCGTTGGCCAGCCAGCGATCGGGGGCCCCCCGTTGGGGGTGGACGAGTCAATTTGTCACCACATGCACAGCCCGCCCCGGCCAGCATGGCTATACCCGCTTGGCTGATCGGGGTGTAAAAGTGAAATTAACGAGATGTGGACATGTCAATCAGAGAATGAAACTGCCCATGACTATTCCCCCCTTCCTCCTGAGACCAATTTGTCCCAGCGGATCTTTCCGGGGGGCAAGCGGGTGGCTTGAGATGGCCATCGGCATGTAAATTGGATAGTGAAACGTCGAAAAAGCTTATTTAGAAGCCCTAGCGGCTTAAAAGCGATTTAAAACGCGGTTCCGAATATTCCTAAAGCGCGCTTCCGCTCCCGACAGCTCCTATTGACGCAGCGCTCACCCCTGTTCACAATTTCGCGCTCGCCGTCATCTTGATTTTTACTATTTTCGTGGGCAACCCATATTTAACGCCCATTCACGCCTTTTCGCGCCCTGTAAATAACGCCTGGATTTGACGCCCCGCAAACGACCGCGAAAGGGGCGTTATTTACAAGGAAAACCCCGTTTTTGTGGGCGTTATTTACAGAAGGGCGCGAAAAAGCGTTAAATACGGGTTGCCATTTTCGTGTCTTCTGTTTTCGGTTCTCCATTCCTTCATTCCATTGCTAAAGCCTCATTTCCAGGTACTTCGGCGGCTACAGCAAGTCTTCAAAGCGCCAGCGGACTGGCAACGTCTTTTGCGACAGGACTTTAGGTAACATCTTTCAGCGGTTTTTCGCGTTGATCGGTGAAAGCTGAAGTTTACGATACTCACCAAAACTGCGTTTTTGCTGTCAAATGTGGAACGTGCTATCTGGGCCTAGGAAACAACGAAATTCTACCAAAAATAAAGCATGCGTTTTTCCTGGTGGATAGCCACGTTTTGAGCTGGTTTTTGGCGTGCCGCTGGGAAATTCATGCCTTACAACACGATTTTTTGGTTCGGAAATTCGTTGATTTGCTGATTTTCTGAAGGCTGGACGTTTAGATGAGCGCCGCAGACTCGAAATTGCGCGCTATTGGCGCTCTTGCGCTGCAGGCCTAAAGCCCAACGCGTAGAGTTTGTAGCTGATGTTCATCGCTACGTTTGACAGCAAAAAAATGCACTTTGGGAGTGTGCCGTAAACTTGTAAAAATCTTGCTCAGGATTCATAGGAGATTATTTATCCTTTTGCAGACAATGGAATCCGCGACGGCGTCTTCGCGAAAAGGATGGTGCCTGGCCTCAATCGACGAATCGCCCTCCTGCGCCCAAGGAATGCCACGAGAAGCCGAATTGGCCACTCGAACACGCGCCGCGCGCTCCGTCTACCGGATCGCCACCACCGTCGATCAGCTGCGCAAATTCCCGAATTCCGTCAAGACGTCCCTGATCGCGGCGGCGACCATCTACACGCAACGCTTCTACTGCTGCCACGCATTCCAGGACGTCTACTACAAATTCGTCGCCGCCGCAGCGCTGTGGATAGCCGCCAAGATGAGGAAACAATGGATCTCGATGGAGCGACTGTCGGCGGCGCTGAGGCGCGTCATCCACGGACGAGGCAAATACGGCCAAATAAAAACCGCCGAGCTGGCCAAAATCATCCTCGAAGTGGAGCTGTGCGTTCTGCAGACCCTCGGCTTCGATTTGGCACCGGAAATGCCGCCGCAGCATGCCCTTCACATCATCAAGGCGTTGATCCCCGAGGACGTGGCCTATCACAAACTCGCGTTCCGTTGGACCATGGAATTGATGATGAAGAATGCCGAGTATCTCGTCCTGTTTACGCCACAGGAGATCGGCGTCATCGTGTGTAACGCAATCTGCATGTGGAGGGGACAAGCACTGGGAAAGGACGCGTGGATGAAGGCCGTCTCGGCACCGTTGGCCACCGACCGGATGTTGGAAGAAGCGAAGAAGCTTTTGATAGACAATAGAACGAATCCCCATAGTCAGTATCGCTTGCCCGTTTTGCCACCTTACAAGTCGTTTTCGCGCAATTAGCTTTGATTTTGTTTCCGGTTTTGCTCGCTCGCATTTTCTCTAAAAGATGTTCCATTCCTAATCAGCATTTCTCGTTTTTGATCGTTATGATGTTGGCGCTTGAAATGTAATTATTATAATAAAAAGTACAAACTCAACAATAAACGAACAACGACAACAACGAGACGCCAAATCGACGGGGAGTGGCAGACAAGCGAAATTTAGCAACGACAGGCGAAGATTAGATTAGGTGAGGAAGCTTTCGTTTCGGAGATATTCGCCAAGGTCGGCCTGATGAAGGAGCACGATGGCCGTCGGGTCGGCGCGCTTGCAATCTGCGGTTCCCTTGGCTGTCACGCCGAACCTGAAAAACCTCGTTTTAGATCGGGGCTGGGAACGACTTTCGGTACATGGACGGTCAGGGTTTTTGTCGTCCCTTGGCTCGGTAATTCCGGTAAAACCTGACGTTTTCCAGTTCTATTTCGCTAAAATTCGGGATCAGCACACAAAAATAGTCCTGAAAAACCCCCAAAAGGCGACAAAAACGTGGCTGCCTAACTTCCGGTCGTACCAGACTTCCAAAACCGGTAAAACTGCCGGAAAAACGCACCCAAGCGGCGTATCATTCATGCTGAACACGACGACGCCCTGATGCGCCGGCGTTCCCTCGGTCATGCGGGCGATACCAGACTTGAGTACGTTGTTGCCGTAGAGGAATTGCTGCTCTGCGTTCGGCTTCAGCCACACACGCCACTGGAAATGGGATATTGACGAAATTCCACAATTTTTACCTTCGAGTAGGGCCCAAGGTAGTCGAGCGCGGTGATGTGAAGATGGAACTTTTTGGATTTTGTGAATTTGCCGAGACAGGTGCCAAAGGAGAGCAGGGGCTCGCGCGCGATGCAGGATGCCTAGAACAACAGTTTGTAGAAACAACTTGGGAGGGTTACCTTTTTGAGTAAAAACTCGCTGCAGTAGTAGATGCGCTCTTTGTGTAGCCGGAAGCAATACTCGCCGTCGCTTCTAAATCGAAAGGAATTGAAAAGAAGAGCTAGAAATACCGATCGACGAGTAGCTGCACGTTGTCCCCAATATAATGGGCCAATTTTGCGAAGACGGCCTCGGACTCCTCGTCGGTCAACGGGCGCATGCTAAAGCGGGAAATTTCATGGGAATAAAGTGAGAGAAGGGTCAAAACGCCGGGAATGCCGGGAAGTGTTGGCACTATTCAATTGAGAGAAAGGGCGCAAAAAAATTTTTTTGGGTCGTTTTCAGTCATTCTTCTGAGTTTTTCTTTGGCTTACTTAATTGGATTGGCTGTATCACAGCTTTTCGTTTCGATTTAGCTTTGTTCAAGCACAAGTTAACTGAGCTTCGGCGTAGCTTAGGATTTGAGTATTGCGCTTCATTAGCCGCGAAAAACTGAGCAAGAAACCTAAAACTGACCCAAAAATTTTTTGCAAAAAAGACTAGAATAGTAGACTTTTTTATAAAAGCATCATCGTCAACAAAACAGATATTGCAGGGCGCAACTCATCACTCGAAAGCACGCGTTATAATGTCAATATTTATTGCCGTAGTCTCGGCCATTTTACCAGTATTAATAAACACGCGGAACGGGGCAATGCATGGAAAAGTCGGAATGTGAAAACGTGAAAGCTACAATCGATTGCAGAAAGACAATGAAGACCTGTAAATGCGGTAATCTTCGAAAGTTGAGAACGCAGACAACTACAAAGCAATAAATGTGAAAGCTAGAGATTCAGAGATCGAGGCGATGGATCTGGTCGAGCATTTCCAGATTCGAGATCGCCTGGCGGGCAGTGTTGGCGTCGACCTGCAGCCGAATTGTGCCATTCCCCTCGACGCGCACAAACGAGTGGACGGCAATGTTGTCGAGCACCGTCTCGAGCTCGTCGTCGCCGAGGGCAGACAGCTTGCACGCGGCACACGCCTTGTGGTACGCGTTGAACAGGGCGAATCGGGTGAGCGACGTCTGGAAGAAGTTGAGGTTCTTTTGCATTATGGCGGACCTTTTTTTGATTAATCACTCTAGAAATGTTTTGATAGCGTTTTTAGTAAAATAAAACTACATTAAACTAGAAAACCTATCCAAAAACTTAAAAAAATACTCAAAAAAGGCAATTTTTTTGTCGAAAAACTAAAATTTTGAATTTTTTTGCGCTAAATTTGAAAGATTTTAAGATTAGGAATAGTAAAAACAGTTTCGCTAGTCATGTTTAAAAAATCTATCCCCCCCCGATAATGCGAAAGAACCCAAGTTTAAAAAACGGTAAAAGCGCAAAATTACCTTTTTGTTGGTGCTCATTCGCAGGCAGACAGCGAGGAGGAGGCGGGATTGCAGGGTGAGCTTGGTCTTGGCCATGGGCGACGAGTACGTGTCGTTGACGACGCGCAGCACCTCCCGCGGCGTCACCGGCGTATTTCCAGCCCTAGGAAACATATTCAGTACGACGGGAAAACCCTTACTTGACTTGTTTCATGACGTGCCAGGCCAGCCGCACATCGCCGCGCACCCCCGCCACCTTGCGGGCACAGAACTCGATGGCCTTGTCCTCCTCCTTGCGATTCTCGTCGTTTCCGCCGTCATCAGCCCCTTCACCCGCCCTCATCTTGTCGGCGATAATTTCCTTCATCTGCTTGGCGTCGTAGGGCTTGAAGGGGATCTTCACCGGCTCGATGGTCAGCTTCAGCTTGGGCAACAGCCTTTCCGTCAAGTCGATCGAGTTGGCGATACCTGGATGAAAAAGCATATATTCAACTCTCAAGCCACCAACCAATGACAATCAGTTTCCAGGAGACTTCTTGGGGCCAACGAAATACCGAGTACAAGTCGGCCTGCTTTTTCAGGTGGTCGATCTGAAAATCTTGGTAGATGGTGCAAATGTAAAGGAAAAATCGACCAAAAAATGATTACCTCATCGAGAATCACTAGCAATGGTCGTCTCAGCTTGTCGGCATACGTCTGGATGTTGAGGGCACGACCCCTAAAGGAAAATCAAGTTTCCACCCGCCCCACGGACCTCATCGGCGTCTTTCCATCAACATTGCACACCCTCGTCACGACGTCTTTCATCGACGAAACGGAAGCGCAGTTGATCAGCACCGAATTCGTGCAGGGCGCTAACGCCTTCAGCACCAGCTTCATCGTCGCGGTTTTGCCTAGAAAACACTGTCAAAGAATCTGACCAAAATCCTACCCGTTCCGGGCAAGCCGGAGAGGTAGAAGGTGACGGGCCGGTGCTTCTTCATGGCCTTGGCCACCCCGGTGCACACCTGGTCGAACTCGCCCTCACGCCCCTTCAACGACTTCACCGCCGCTGAAAAGCTTCTATGGTTTCCTCCGAATTTCACGGATCTTTCGCATTATCGGGGGGGGGGACTAAATTTTTTCTAAGTACCCAATTTTTTTAATATAAACAGAGGGGGTTTTTCTAAACCATTTTTACCATGCCTAAACCTAAAAAGCTTACAAATTTTTAACAAAAAAAATATAGATTTTCGCCCCAAAATGGCCGATTTTTAGCCAAGTCGAGTTTTCACATTTATTAAAGTTTTGCCTAGTTTAAATACGATATATTAGCTTTATTTCGCGAAAAACACTATTCAAACAGTTAAAATTTTCGCCACTCATCCGATAAGGCGCAAGAACCCCCTCCGAATCAGACGCACGATAAACTCACGATCCAGCTTGAATACGGCACTCGTCGCCGGTTCCGGCTCATCGTCAAGTGAGTCCTCATCCGTGTCCTCGCCATTTTCCTCCTCTTCCGACGCCTTTTCCGTCAGACCCGACGCTTCGGCATCCTAAAAACTGGGTTAAAACGTTTCAAAAGGATCCAGCACCTGGAAATCGTCTTCACTGTCCTGGTCACTGCTCGAATCGTCGTCCGAGCTTTCCACGACAAGCTTCTTCACTGCTGGCGTCACCAAGGCGGATCGGCGGATGCGCAGCCGGGCGATCGGCTGAAAACTATCGTTTCGGGGGCTATTTTTGGGCCGAATTTCCATTACGCCGAAAGTTTTAAAGGTCGCGTTGTAAAACGACGAATTTTTAAAACGCCGGCCTTCAAAAAAAGATCTATACCGTTTTCGGGGCCTCCTGCCCGCACTCCTTGGCGGCCTCGATCCGGTTGATGGCCGAGCGTCGGTAGACGAGCTTGGGCACCTTGCGCGGGACTCTAAAATTAAATTAATTCTTTCCTGGTCAAGAAAGCACCAACACAGGCTTTTCCTCTTCTTCATGCTCCTCCTCCTCCTCCTCCCGGATGGCCACCGCCGGCTTGATGACCGAGCGGGCGCGACGGCGCGAGGGCTTCTCCTCGACCTTCTCGATGTTCTTCGACGCCTTCTTTGCTTTCTCCGGCGCTAGAAAAAATATTTTTGATCGAGAACTTGCGAAAACCTTCAGATTTGAGCCTTGACGTTCTGGGCGGTGTCGGATCGGGCGTTGCGGTCGTAATTCTCCTAAAAAATCAAATTTATAGGGTCGTTTATCGTGTTCCATACATGCTGCGGCGCCGTGAAACCGGTGGCGCTTCTTCTTTGGGCTTCGACCGCGGCATTTTGCCTGGAAAACAGGGTCATAGAGACATCGAGGAAAATCAAAGAAATCAAAAAAGAAATTGCACTGGTCATGGTTAGTTCCCATTATTATCGGGGCGAGGGGTTCTAAGATAACTAAATTTATTATTCCTAAATGTAAAAAATTTACACATTTAGGTGTAAAAAAGGTCAAAATAACGATTTTTCGACTAAAACATGGCCGATCTTTGATCAAGGTCGAAAATCCGCTCTGGAATTTTTTCTCCATACTAGCTGGTGTCCGAGGGGCAGAGCACAGAGACATTTTTGAATTACTCAGGGAAGCATGATACGAAATCCTGGCCTTGAGTACCAAAATTTCACCTCAAACCTTTTTGCGAAGTTTTTCGATTGTCTTGCCCTGTGAAACACGGTTAAATCTTCAAAAAAACACTAAAAAACCACATTGCTAGGAATTTTTGGCCATCCAAGAAAACTTTTTGTACTTCTTTTCTTCAAAAATACGGCAAAAAACGCGAATGAAGCCCAGTTTTTAATTTTTATTAGGCGGGACGCTTCGCCGAATTAAAAATTCAGCGCCTAATATAATTGCTTGCGCGCGTGGTGGGAACGTGCAAAGGAATGGCGCGTTGGGCGCCTCCGTTCGGATACAAGAGACGCCGGTGAGCCGTGGATCCGGCGCCGAGGGTTTTCGAATTATTTTTTTGTTCCATTTTTCGTAACAAAACATGGAATTTTATTCCTCTTTTTTTCAGACTTTTTGTTTGGGCCATATATGATTCTTATTTTCGCCTCTCTTTGCCCTCGATTATTTGCTTTCTTTTGACTTCCCTTTCGCAACTTTCGACGCTTACTAATCATCCACATTTAGTGAAGAGAAGAACAATGGCCGATGATGGAGTCAATCCGAAGGCCTACCCGTTGGCCGACACCCAGCTCTCCCAGAAGCTCCTCGACCTCGTCCAACAGGCCATGAACTACAAGCAGCTGAAGAAGGGCGCCAACGAGGCCACGAAGACGCTCAACCGCGGCATTGCTGAGGTACATTTTTTGGGCCCGAATCCGGTATCCGGTCACCCCGCAGAATGGCAACTGATCTTGAACGAGTTCATCATGCTAAACAGTGCACATGATATGTATGATATGTATGCATATGAACACTGTGCGAGTTTGGGTTTGGCTAGGTGACCGGATACTTAAATTTAGCCCTTGTTGGTTTTTGGTCACAAAGATTGGGTTCTGCTCGGTAGAGCACTCTTGTTTGTGGATGTTTCTCCTTTTCGGCTGCCACCCCTCAACTTTCATTTTCCAGGTGATCATCATGGCGGCCGACGCCGAGCCCCTCGAGATCATTCTGCACCTGCCGCTGCTCTGCGAGGACAAGAACGTGCCGTACGTGTTCGTGAAGAGTAAGGCCGCGCTGGGACGTGCCTGCGGCGTCACGCGCCCCGTCATCGCCTGCTCGATCACGCAGAACGAGGGATCTCAACTCCGATCTCAGGTCCAGAAGATCAAGGAAGACGTTGAAAAGTTGTTGATTTGATTTGTTACGTTGATTTATCTTGTTTTGTTGATGCTTTCCCTGTATTCACAATAAATCCTTTGGAGAGAAAAAGCGCGGGACATCAGCAAAGGCCACATCGTCCGTTACATACCTGTAGAATTCACAGCGATGTACAGAGATTTGCGCGGGGAAAGAAGGTGCTGCAAATACATGCTTGCAAAATGGGATCTGGCGCGGCTTTCGGCATTTGTTTTGACGAGTAGTGCTGCGAATTGCCGTGGATTTGATGCTTTTTTCTTTTTTGCTGTCTCGTCGTCGTTGCGGAGCACAATCCTTTTTTAGTTGCGATGAGCGACTCCGGCGACAACCCGCCCGCCGTCTGCTCATTCCGCAAAGGAGGGCGCAAGCGTGCGCAACTACGTCAGCGTGTCGATCAGCCCAAAGAGGACAGCGAGCACAGCGGTGATGAGGCCGAGGTGAGCTACTATTCGCCTATCGTAATGTTATTTTAGGCGCAACGCGAAGTTTTCATCAAGAAACGCCGGAAGAATCCAATGGTGCAGACGACAAAGAAGGAGACTGATTCGGCACGGCGTCCGCGTGCCGGCTCTTCATCATCAGACGATTCGGGGCCCGGTGGACCGCTCGATTCATTTCAAGCGTCAGGCACGGCAGAACCACATGGTAGACTTTGAGAAAGGGTGTTAGAAATTCTGATCCCGGGAATTCTCGAATCAAGGACTTTTTCAGGTCCGAAAGACATGGGTGCCACCTCGATTCTCCAGGTCGACACCGACTACGCGCACGATGCCCAAGCACAGTTCGAGCGCGTGCAGAAGATGCTCGAGGAGGGCGGGATGGTTGATAAGGTAAAGTTGTCGGTAACTGGGCCAACTTGTAATTTAGGAGGGGCGGACCCTGTACAAAGGCGCCGCGATGTACGGCGCGAAAAAGGCCGAGGACAATGCGAAGGGGAGCGCTAGTTCAGGTAAAAACATCATTCTGTTTTTTAATGCTTCTGTGTTTAGGGTTAAATCGGATCGGGCCGATCCGCGCCCCACAGCACATGCGCCAGACCGTCCTCTGGGACTACAAGCCGGATCTGTGCAAGGATTGGAAAGAGACGGGAATGTGTACTTTTGGAGGTGCGTTTTTTTCAGCCCGTGGCTTTGCCAGTGTTTTCGGTGTTTTTTATTGTTTTCAATCCTCTTTCATAGATTCCTGCAAGTTCATCCACGACCGCACCGACTACAAACACGGCTGGGAGATTGACCGCGATTTCGAGGAGGAGCAGAAGAAGAAAAAGGGCCAGCACGTCGAGGAGGAAAACTGGGAAATCCACTCCGACGAGGAGGACAATCTGCCCGAAGAGTGTCAAATCTGCAACGAAGAGTTCGACAACCCAGTTGTTACAAAGTAAGTTACTGTTTGCCCGGAAAACAATACCTTTTTAGATGCAAACACTACTTCTGCGAATCCTGCGCCATCTCCGCGTTCCGAAAATCCAAGCGATGTCAAGTGTGCGACGAGAACACCGGCGGCGTCTTCAACCCGGCCCGCGACGTCATCGCCAAGATCGAGGCGAAGAAGAAATTGGCAGGTATAAAAATTCTCAGCTACCCTTGATAAGTCCATTCTCCTTTAGAACAATCTCCGGCCGAGGATTCGGATGAGGGTGAAGCCGGCCCGGATGTGACCGAGGACACACATATGGAGATGCTCAACGAGAATGGGGAAGAGCCGGAAGATGCGGCGCCGAAGAAGTCGCGTAAGGCCAAGGTCAAGGAGACGCTCGACTATATGGAGGATGTTGTGGTCAGCGTTTTTTTGTAATTTTGGATCTGTGAAATAACTTTCCTGATCTTATTTGATTACATATGTTTTAGCCCGACTACGAGAGCGATGGTGAGCGGAAAAGACGGAAGGCCAGAGAAGCGGAAGCGCAAGCTGCTGCGGAAAATAGCAGCGACGTCGACGACGAATCGGGCCCTTCCGGTGACGAGTCGAACGCCGAGGAGCAGCTCGTCGAGGACACGCCAATGGAATTCTTGGATGAGCAGACCCCCGAAGCGGATCCTGTTGACTGATTGTGTAACCTTTCTTCACCCATCCTTGTGCTTACTTTGTTTCTGAGCTGTATCTTTGCATTGTCCACTTTTTCCGGTTGTTCTTTCCGTCGTTCTCGGTCTCATTTTTCGGGTAGCGAATAAAGTATTTGCACGCAAATATTCGTGTTGCTCAAATGAAAATGCATCTGAGTGCGAATCATTTTTTAATCCATATTTTTGAGGCACAGATTACTGCGAAAAAGCGATTGTCTTTTATTTGCTCTCGCAATGAAATTCTCGATCTTTAGAGGGTGTGTTTCGAAACTGGGAAGCGCGGCGTTCTCTGGCTCTTTTACCTTGTCGCCAAAGCCACGCCCCCTGGGCAAGGTTATATAAAGAATCCGCGCGTATTATATGTGTAGAGCGGGCTGCCGGGCTCTATTTTGGGTGAATGATGGACGGTAAACCTTTACTAAGAACAACTAGCAAAACCGCGCAAGTTGGAGGGTGTTTGCGAGCCTACATAGTTGCGTTTTTTCAGTGTCCACGGGGTTTCGAAATGGAAGAAAGCCTGCAGAATTTCAGAAGAAAGCAAAAAGTCCTTTTCAGAATCTGCAAAAACAGAATTTCCGAAGCTTTAAAGTGTAAAAAAATGCCCTAAAAATAGCCAGCTAGGGCCGTTTTTGCCCTTTAGCCGTTTCCAAATTCTGGAAACTAGGCTACAATCAGCGAAAAATTCTGTTTGATCGCATTTTGAAAATCCGTGTATGCTCAAAAACGTCTTCTTGCTAGCAATTCAAACTCGGGGGGGGGGGGGGGCCCTGAATATTCTAGTTCGTTCTAGCTCGTTTCCTTCTATTCTCAACCTCAATTAGTGTATTTTATTGACGTCGTCGCTTTTCCAGCTTGGGAAATGAATCGACGGAAGGGCAAATGGGAGCGAGCCATGCCCGAGTTCGACGCGGGCGACCCGGAATGGTCGCAGTCGTCGATTCCGTCGTCCAAGGATCAGCCGGCTGACCACGGTTCGTTTCTTGCACCCCCTGAAAAATCGGCGCTTTTCCAGTCCCGGCCGCCGCCTCCCAGAAGCTCGACAACGCCTTCGGCTCGCTGAACGAGTTTGGCGGCAAGGATTACAGGTGCGAAGCAATTTGCTTAGGCTTTAAAGATGCTTTAGGAAGGAGATGCCGCTGAAGGACGATCATGCGTCGCGGCCGCTCTGGGTCTCGCCGGACGGCCACATCTTCCTCGAGTCGTTCAGCCCCGTCTACAAGCACGCACACGACTTTTTGATTGCCATCGCCGAGGTGAGAGCGGAAGAATAAGAGCCAAATGAGAAGGAAAATATGGATGAATTCCGAGGCTCATAAAATTATAATTTTTGGTATTGTGCTGTTTGCGGGGCGAACAGCCTTTTATTTTTTTTAAGGTTTTTAGCAGTTTTTTATTGTGGGAAACTGATAAAAATATCTTGAACTTTCGAAAATTCATAAATTTTCTTTTTCGGTCATTTTTCATCCATTTTTGACGAAAATGTTTGGCGAAATCCTTGAAACGAATGCTTTTCGAGGATTTTTATAATTTTTGAACAACTTTTTATATCTAAAAACCGCGTAAAATGCAACAGAAATCGTTTAAAATTGTCTTAGTCCCCTCTACCCCCAATTTTTTCAGCCCGTTTGTCGCCCCGAGTTCATCCACGAGTACCAGCTGACGGCCTACTCACTCTACGCGGCCGTGTCGGTCGGATTTCAAACGGGCGACATCATCGAGTACCTCGATAGACTGTCAAAAAGTGCCCTGCCAGAGGGAATTCGGCAATTCATCCAGGTATAACCGCCCTCACTACTGGAGAAATCGTTTTGTCAGGTCTGCACACTCTCCTACGGCAAGGTGAAGCTCGTGCTCAAGCACAACCGGTACTACATCGAGTCGCGGCATTCGGAGGTCATCCAGCGGCTGCTGAAAGACCCCGTCATCCAGCCGTGTATATTGGAGGAAGACAAGACGGCAGAACCCCCGAAAAATCAGCAGGTAAACTTTTCGGCTTCGAGCAATGCCTGTTTTTCGTTTAGCAATTCACCACGATCAACTTCCCGAGTCAAAAGCCTGCCGGAGACGAGAAAAATGCCGACGACTCCATTCCGGAGGATATCGACAAATTGTGAGGACACATTCGCCCAATAACAACCCCTTTTTTAGCTATGAAAAGATTGACGGCAACGACGACGAGGATGCCGACGCCATTCGATCGCTCGAGCTGCTCACCTTTGAAATTCAACCGGTATCCCCCTTTTCGGTGATGCGACCAATGCAAATCTAGTCTCAAATCGAAGCCGTCCAGAAGCGCTGCATCGAGCTGGAATACCCGCTGCTCGCCGAGTACGACTTCCGCAACGACACGCACAACCCGAATCTGGGCATCGATCTGAAACCGTCGACCACGCTGCGCCCCTACCAGGAGAAGAGTCTGCGCAAAATGTTTGGCAACAGCCGGGCACGGTGCGCGATTTTATTTTGGGTTTTCTGGACTCTTTGGCATTATCGGGGGGACCAGCTTTTTTCTAAGGCTCGATTTTTAAAAACAACAAATTATTATTCAAAACTAGGAAAAACATATCGATTTTCGTCCAAAAATGACCGATTTTGGACGATTATGTCGAGTTTTCAAAAGTTTTAACATAGTTTTCGTAGTTTAATTCTTGCTTTATTTTACTAAAGACAATAATAAAGTTATTTCGAGGTACTTGCTAGGCGTTTCTAGGCTACAAAAAATTGCCCCCCGATAATGCGAAAAACCGGTTATTTTCAATGTTTTATAGCCTCATAATCGAATTAAGTTTTCAGGTTTTAATCGAGTTTTTTTTCAGATCCGGCGTCATCGTGCTGCCATGCGGCGCGGGCAAGACGCTCGTCGGCGTGACGGCGGCCACCACAATCAACAAGCGCTGTCTTTGCTTGGCCACGAGCAACGTGTCGGCCGAGCAGTGGAAGGCACAATTTAAGGTAAGGTTTTCCAACCTTCCTTTTTAAGCCCTCTTTCAGCTATGGTCGACGATCCAGGAACGGCAAATCATCCGCTTCACCCGCGAGGCCAAGCACGAGACGATCCCCACCGGGGCTGATGCCAACAAACCCATGGTCAGCTGCTCCTCGCTTTTCTGACCGATTCTTTAGGTGTGCATCTCGACGTACTCGATGCTCGCCTTCTCCGGCAAACGTGCCTACCAGGCCGAGGAGGCGATGCGCTACATTGCCAGCCAGGAATGGGGATTGCTGCTGTTGGATGGTTCGTTTTGCGCGTAAAACTGGGTTCCTGCTGTTTTTACGTTCTAGTAACTTATCAGGCAGTATTTTATTCGTGTTTTTAGTAAAATATGGTTAGACCAGTCGATAACAGCCGCTTCGCGGCTGCTATCGACTGGCCCTCCCGGGGGGCAAGGCAATACAGGGTACTTCCCATTCTCTTTAGTATATTTCCCGCTTGGCGCGAATACCTTTCGTGATCTACCTATGCCCGTCCTCCAAAACCAAAGAAACTTCCATTCCTGCTCTTCCCCCTGAAAGAAACCTCCCCCCCTCTCGCTCTAACCTTCTTTAAGAATAAAAAAAACATCTAAGAAACGCGTAATGGCTAGAATACCCTTGAAAGAAAGTTATTTCCCCTTCTTAGATACTAAAAAACATCTAAGAAACGCGTAATGGCTAGAATACCCTTGAAAAAAAGTTATTTCCCCTTCTTTAATACCAAAACAACATCTAAGAATCACGTAATGGCTAGAATACCCTTGAAAGAAAGTTATTTCCCCTTCTTAGATACTAAAAAAACATCTAAGAAACGCGTAATGGCTAGAATACCCTTTGAAACAAAGTTATATCCCTTCCTTGATACTAAAAAAACATCTAAGAAACGCGTAATGGCTAGAATACCCTTGAAAGAAAGTCATATCCCTTCTTTGATACTAAAAAAACATCTAAGAAACGCGTAATGGCTAGAATACCCTTGAAAGAAAGTTATTTCCCCTTCTTAGATACTAAAAACATCTAAGAAACGCGTAATGGCTAGAATACCCTTGAAAGAAAGTTATTTCCCCTTCTTAGATACTAAAAAACATCTAAGAAACGCGTAATGGCTAGAATACCCTTGAAAGAAAGTTATTTCCCCTTCTTAGATACTAAAAAAACATCTAAGAAACGCGTAATGGCTAGAATACCCTTGAAAAAAAGTTATTTCCCCTTCTTTAATACCAAAACAACATCTAAGAATCACGTAATGGCTAGAATACCCTTGAAAGAAAGTTATTTCCCCTTCTTAGATACTAAAAAACATCTAAGAAACGCGTAATGGCTAGAATACCCTTTGAAACAAAGTTATATCCCTTCCTTGATACTAAAAAAACATCTAAGAAACGCGTAATGGCTAGAATACCCTTGAAAGAAAGTCATATCCCTTCTTTGATACTAAAAAAAACATCTAAGAAACGCGTAATGGCTAGAATACCCTTGAAAGAAAGTTATTTCCCCTTCTTAGATACTAAAAAAACATCTAAGAAACGCGTAATGGCTAGAATACCCTTGAAAGAAAGTTATTTCCCCTTCTTAGATACTAAAAAAACATCTAAGAAACGCGTAATGGCTAGAATACCCTTGAAAGAAAGTTATTTCCCCTTCTTAGATACTAAAAAAACATCTAAGAAACGCGTAATGGCTAGAATACCCTTTGAAACAAAGTTATATCCCTTCCTTGATACTAAAAAAACATCTAAGAAACGCGTAATGGCTAGAATACCCTTGAAAGAAAGTAATATCCCTTCTTTGATACTAAAAAAACATCTAAGAAACGCGTAATGGCTAGAATACCCTTGAAAGAAAGTTATTTCCCCTTCTTAGATACTAAAAAAACATCTAAGAAACGCGTAATGGCTAGAATACCCTTTGAAACAAAGTTATATCCCTTCCTTGATACTAAAAAACATCTAAGAAACGCGTAATGGCTAGAATACCCTTGAAAGAAAGTAATATCCCTTCTTTGATACTAAAAAAACATCTAAGAAACGCGTAATGGCTAGAATACCCTTGAAAGAAAGTTATTTCCCCTTCTTAGATACTAAAAAAACATCTAAGAAACGCGTAATGGCTAGAATACCCTTTGAAACAAAGTTATATCCCTTCCTTGATACTAAAAAACATCTAAGAAACGCGTAATGGCTAGAATACCCTTTGAAACAAAGTTATATCCCTTCCTTGATACTAAAAAACATCTAAGAAACGCGTAATGGCTAGAATACCCTTGAAAGAAAGTTGTTTCCCTTTCTTTAATACTAAAAAAAACAATAAAAACCGTTGCGAAACAATTATTCTTTTGTTTGGGGATTTCTGCAACCATTAATGCGCGAACGGCCCCTGTGACCTCGGGCCCCTCCCCCCTCTCCCCCAACCTCCCATTAGTGCGGGGTTGAATTCCCGGTCGGTCGGGCAGACGGACATTAGAAATTTATATATAGTAGATTTCAACTAAAAAACTATCGAGCGTTTTTCTTAGAAATTCAAATCGAAATTTTGGGCAAAAATCGGTCAATTTTGGTTGAAAAATCGATATGTTTGATGTCTTTAATAACAGCGTTTTTATAAATATTGGCAATATGGGATTTTAGCAAAATTTCACTTTATGGCAATGGAAAAACAGTAAAACAAAGATTAAAAAAGTTCTAGGGTAAATTTTGTTCGAAAAATCGATAGTTTTTTTGTCAAATTTGAAAGGTTTTTACATCTGTGAGAAGTAAAAAAGCTTAAAAACGCTTCCTCTATTTATATTAGAAAAATTTGATCCCGGAAAAAGAGCCCCCCCCCCCCGATAATGCCAAAGCACCAACACTTAACTTTTTGAAGAAAAACTCATTTCAGAAGTGCACACGATCCCGGCGAAAATGTTCCGGCGGGTGTTGACGATCGTGCAGGCGCATTGCAAGCTCGGGCTGACGGCCACCCTGGTGCGCGAGGACGACAAGATCACCGACCTCAATTTCCTCATCGGCCCCAAAATCTACGAGGCGAATTGGATGGAGCTGCAGAAGGCCGGCCACATTGCCAAGGTCCAGTGCGCCGAGGTAATGCTTTCGGGTTTTTTCCTCGTGCCCGTGCGGCCCTATAATGCTATAGAAACCATTTTTTAAAGCAATTTATGCAGATTTTAGGTATAAAAACCACCTAAAATTTTTTAAGTTAGGAAATCTTTCGTCTTTTTGTGAAAGCTGTATGAAAAATGAAGGAATCAGGGCTCAAAATCATTTTTATAGTATTTTTATAAAGTTTTTTTGATATAAAAAGCTTGTAAAAATTATAATTCGCTCAAAATTTGTATTTTTTAGTCAAAACTGTTCAAAAAATTTTAAATTCTAATTTTTTTTGAAATATTGATAAGCTTCTAGCCATCAAAAACTACTAAAAACTCGGAAAAGTTCCCTTTTATTTTTTTTTATTAACAGGTATAGGCCAAAAGTTAAAAACTAGTCTCCCCCCGCTAACAGCCCAGTATCGTACTTTTCCACCCTTGAATCAAACTCGCAATGTTCCAGGTGTGGTGCCCGATGACGTCCGAATTCTACGCCTTCTACCTGAAAGCCCAAATCGCGCGACGGCTGCTCCTGTCGGCGATGAACCCGAACAAGTTCCGCATGTGCCAATATCTCATCAAGTACCACGAAAAGCGCAATGATAAGGTCAGAACATTCCAACGTTTTTGGTAACCACTTTTTTCAGATCATCGTCTTCTCGGACAACGTATTCGCCCTGAAGACGTACGCCGTCGAGATGGGCAAGCCGTTTTTGTATGGAGAAACTGTGCAGGTTGATTTTTCGGTTCTGGGCGTTAATTGACCGTTTCTTTTCAGAGCGAGCGCATGAAAATCCTGCAAAACTTCCAGTTCAACCCGAAGGTGAACACGATTTTTGTGTCGAAGGTTAGTGCCTCGCGTTTCTTTTAAAATGTCGAATTTCGCAATTTCGAAATTTCAAAAATGCCGAAATTTAGGTTCTTTCGCCTTAACGGGAGGGGAGGGGGAGAAATCAGCTTTTTCTTACCATCTAATTTTTCAAATCTAAGGGCGGAAGTGTTTCTGGGCTGTTTTTACTTTTCCTAAATCTGAAAACGTTACAAATTTTTACTAAAAAAATACAAAATTTATCGATTTTTCGGCCAAAAACTGCCTTTAGGTTGCCGACACGTCGTTCGATTTGCCGGAGGCGAACGTGCTGATCCAGATCTCGGCCCACGGCGGCTCGAGAAGACAGGAAGCACAGCGGTTGGGCCGAATCCTGAGGTGAGTGGATTTCCGGTACTGGACTGTTAGCGGGGGTGACCTAACTTTTTTCTAGAGATCAGGAGATCTTACAAAGTTCAAAAAATTTTCTTTTTGGCCAAAAATCTATCAAGAAAGGCCAAAAATTTTGAATTTCAAACTTGAAAATATGTTTTATAACTTTCTCGCAATAAAAATACATTTTATATTATCGATAGACGGAGAAAAAAACAAAAGTCAGCTTTCGCCTGCCAAAAACACCCCCCCCCCCCGCTAACAGCCCAGTACCGTTTTCCTTCGGTTTTCCCTGGGTTTTTTCAATCTCATTTTGCAGGGCCAAGAAGAACTCCTCCGACCAGTACAACGCCTTCTTCTACTCGCTCGTCTCGCAGGACACGGTGGAGATGGGCTATTCGCGGAAGCGGCAGCGTTTCCTCGTCAACCAGGGATACGCCTATCGGGTGGTGAACAACCTGCCCGGGATGGCCCAGGAACAATTGCGTCTCGCCACCAAGGTTCGCAGCCCCAATTTGTCAAATTGTATTTATTTTGTCAGGAATCGCAAGTGCAGCTGCTGCAGAAAGTGCTTGCCGCCTCGGACGCCGACGCTGAAGAGGAGGACGTCAAAGAAGAAAACATTGACGGCACCTACAAGGTATGCAAATTTGACGTCATATCGGAATCTGTAAAAATCTCTAAATCTCGAAATGTCGGTTCTTTCGCATTATCGAGGGGACCGGACTTTTTCGTAGAAGCCCAGAAATGCCCAGTAACGTAATAGAAAGTGTTTTAATAGCCTTTTCAGTGATATATAACGATATTTCAACCGGAAAACTATCCAAAAATTTACAAAAAGTAGAATTTTTGCCAAAAAGCGACCCTTTTGGGTGAAAAATCGATGTTATACATTTTTTATACAAATTTGTAAAGTTTTCACGTTTAGCAATACTGAAAAACCACTTAAAAATAATTCCACTATTTATATTTGAAAAATTAGATCCTGGGAAAAAGTTGGTTCGGTAATGCGAAAGAACCTAAATATCATCTTTATTTCAAAATCTCTAGATTTCTTGGTTTTTCTTTTTTAGCGATTATGAAGTTTGGTGATTCTAAAGCTCCCCTGCGATTTTATTTTCTCCAAACTATCGCCATTTTCAGGCGTCCCGTCGCGAGAACACGATGACGGCCCTCTCGGGCGGAATGGGCGGCTTTGGCGGCGGGCAGAACAAGACGAAGAAGCAGCTGCTCGACGAACGACATCCCCTCTTTAAACGTTTCCGCGCCACATAGCCATTTTCCACTTGTTTGTATTCATTTGAAACATTCCTTCGAATCTCACAATTCTCGCTTTGTGATGCTCCATTGTCTCACCGCCCCAGTCCCAACTACGAGTTTCTCTCTCTCTCTCTTTTTGTCTGTTGATGTGTGCACGTTGTTCGTCTTTTCAGGATTGTTGATAAAGTTTTGTGGAGTGTTTGCCGGAAATTGCCAAGGGTTGAAAGGCCGATCTGTATTTCGAAAGCTTTTGGTCCTGTTGGCCTTCCTTTTTTGGTTCTTTCGCATTATCGGGGGGTGGGGCAGCTTTTTTTCCAGAATTCTAGCTATGCCTAGGAACGGAATAATAGGTTTTAGTCGTGTTTTTAGTTAAATTTAACTTTCTCGAAATGGAAAAAGAATTTGAGCAAATTTTAGAAAAATTCAGGTCAAATTTTGTTCGATAAATCTATATTTCTTGTATTTTTTAGATCAAAATTTGTAATTTTTTAAGGATCCATAAGAATGCATAGAAGAAAGTTCGCCCCCCCCCCCACGATAATGCGAAAGAGCCCTGTCTCTTGGTTACTCCCAGAAAACGTTGTCATTTTCAGGCATTCCAAACTTCACTATGACAAATACCAAGTGAGCCTCTTTCAAGCCAGCTTATGCTTTTTTCTTAGAGAGCTCGACGTGGCGCCTACGGCCGTCGTCGTCACCACGGCCACGTTGGAAGGGAAAATAAAGGTATGCCATCTCCGAACCACTGATTGCTGGTGCTCAGTTTGGACCCGGCTGTATCGTCCACCCCACCGCCACGATTCGCGCGACGGCCGGCCCAATCGAATTCGGCCCCGACAACATCATTGAGGAGCTGAGCGTCATCGAGAATTTGTGAGCTTGTTTCGTTGACTTCAAATTGCTTTCAGGTCAGCAGAAACGATGCGCATCGGCTCGCAGAATCTCTTCGAAATTGGCTGCGGTACGGTTTTGAAGCGTTTTCGTTATTTTGTTTTGGGTTTGAAAATCAGCGGTTCGGACGGGCTAAAATCCCCGTTTTCAAAAAGCCTCGAAAAGCTCGAAAACACGGTATTTTGACGCTTCAATTTGAGGACTTTATATAACGGTTTTAATGCTAGAAACAGTTTTTAAACCCTGGAGTTCCGAATCGCTGATTTTAAAACCCGGATTTCCCAGATTTTTTCATTTTTAGGCCCCGACTTCGACAAACGTTTTTGTTTTTTAGTGGTCCACGCCCGTTCGATCGGCAACAACAACGCGTTCGGGATCAAGTCGACCGTCGGTGAGGGCGTCATTGTGACCGATGGATGCTCCCTTGGCCCAAAATGCAACGTGAGAATTTTTGAAAATTGATTGTGGGCTAGTGGGCGCCTTTCATGCGATTTTATGTCGGCTCCTTTAAAACGTCGAGATTGCGTTTCGAAATGTCACAATTTCGTAATTTACATAAAATTTGCCGTAAAACCCCAAAATTCTGGAAAAATCTCCAGATTCTGAAATTTCGAAATTATGAAATTGAACATTTTGAATTTCGCCATTCTGATACCAAATCATTTTAGGCAGGAGGCCAGCGAACGCTCGAGCCCCGCCTCTGCATCTACGGCGGCAAAAACGAAGAGCACGTCGCCTTCGACGCTCCACCGGTGAGCTTTTGCGGCATTTCCACAAGACTGCTTTTTCAGCGCAACGCCAGCCAAGCCGAACACCTGCTGATGGTCCTCCCGCGATACCACAAGACCGTCAAGCCGAAAACATAATAAGTATTCGCATTTTTTCATTTTGGTATTGTTTATATCTTTTTTTTGTTCTTTGCTCTTTAGATAAATTTATACGGGTTGCCCCCGACGCGTATAACAGAAACAAAATCAACAATGAGCGAAAAACAAAAAGGTTAAACAAAATTCATACGCATATAGTTCTCATTCTTCCATCTCCTCGACGTCGTCGTCATCACCATCGTCACCGGATTCTTCATTTTGTCCGTCGGCTGCTTCTTGACCCTTCGGCATCTTCTTCAGGGCTTTCACCTGAATGAGAGCATTGCTCAAAACCGCCCAAAATCACCGACCTTTCTCAACTGGATTTCATCTGTATTCTGCTTGCCGATATGCACACGAGCCAATGTCGAGCCGAACACGTCTTGTGAAGTATTCTTTCGGGCCTTTGCCTAAAATAGTGATTCATCGAGTCAATCTTTAGGATTCGCGCGGGGTTAGGGGGACCAGCTTTTTTTCACGGCGGCCTAGGTTAGCCTAGTAAACGCATATAAAGCGTTATCATATTGTTTTTAGTAACTTTAACTAAATTAGATTCAGAAAAATTTTCAAAAAAGTTGGTAAAGGTCGAAGATTTGACCATTTTTGGTCAAAGAAATCAATTTTCAATCTAAGATTGATCTTTTAGTGAAAGTTTGTAACGTTTTTATTCTCTAGACGAGCTAAAAACAAGGCCCAAACGCATCCGCTAATCCTAAAAAACCTATCGTGCGCCGAAAAAAGCGGATCCCCCCGCGGGGCTCCTAAAGTCCCCATCGAGGTAGTTATGCGTCAAAAATGTACCCTCAATTGCTGCGGAATGCGACACGCGTCCTTGAACAGCGCATCAGAGGCCAACTTCTTCCTGTCCACCTCGAAATCGGCGCGCGGTCCCATCTCCACGAGTTCGACACGCGGCGTGCTCGAATCCGACTTTTTCAATTGAGTCCTAATAACCATTTTTAGCTTTGAAATCTTAAAAAACCTGTAAACGCGGAGGAGAATCTTCGTGCCGATGCATGTGAGGGAGATGACGTGTTCGAGGCCTTGAAGTCGAATCTGGAAATTAAAAAAATACAGATTTTCGGAAGCAAAGCAAAATTACCTTGGCGGGCGACGGTCCCCGCAACCAATCGACGAGCAAATTTCCAATCCGTCGCATCGAGGGCTCTTCCCAGTCGGTGCCCTCCAGGATGACGCACGGCTTTGCACCGACGCTGATCTTGTCTACCTATATTTACAAGTTATTGCAACCGGCAAAAGAAACGCGTACGTTGAATTCACTAAGCGGCTTGTAGTCGACGACCTTCAGCCCGACCATATCCAGTAGATGACCATCGTGCATTCGGCCGAATGTGACGCTAAATTCGAATATCGAAAATTCTGATAGACCATACCTATTCGGATGTTTTTTCGAGTTGGCACCAAAGAAGAACAGTGAAGCATCATATTTGTCGGCAAAAATCTCGAACGGCGTCTCGTCGTCGAACGGGTAGTACTGGTTTCGTCTACAAAAAATGGCATCAAAAACTTTGACACTCGGCAAACCGTTTCATTTGGACGGCGAGTGGCTTCTTGAGGGCATGGAGATCGTGCATCAGATCCGTGACAACGTTGCTCGTCTTCATTCCCCGAAAGAACAGAGCCGTCTTGTCATTTTCCACCACTTTCGGCGCCCTGAAAGGAAATTTGTGGAAAATAACACTCGGTTTTTTCGCATGACCGGGGGGGGGGCATAATAGCGGTTAATAGTGTTTTTGCAAAATTTAACTATAAAAACATTTATTTCATTTCATCTTTCTTTTCAGTCATTTTCAGTTTGTATTTTTGATGCAAAATGGGCAAATTTTAGCTAAAGGCATAGTAAAAGACAGTTTAAAAAGATTTCCATTTGAAAATTAGCACAAAAATTCTATCTTAGACAAGAAAGTTGCCCCCCCTCCCCCCGATAATGCGAAAGAATCAAGAAAAAACAATTACCGATCTTCCAGGACGCGCTTCCCCTTGTGCGTCTTCGTTTTCGTGACGCGGCCCACTTGTTTGACCATATTTACTGGAACGCAGCAGAAATTGAAGAATCACGATCAGAAAGCTTCAAATCTTGAACCAAAATCTTTGTAAATATCCAAAACGTCGAAACGCTTTTCAGTAAAAGAAAACCCTCATTAGTACAAAATCATTTATACAAGCAAAAGCATCAATCGGAAAGTCATGAGATACTGAGTGAATCCGTAAAATTGCACAAGGCAAAAGCGGCAAGCGATAAGTGAAAAGGCAAATCATCTCATGTACAAGTGGTTACAAACATCCAAAAAAAATCACAATCGCTCAGCAATGGGTGATCAATCCTGCTCGAGGGCACGGCGGCCGAACTCGCTGAGGGTGGGCGGAACGGGCACTCCATTTCGTCGTTGCACACTCCGCGGCGGTTCCATGGCCGGCGACTCGGCCATCATCTCCAGTGGGGCACGCGTTTGACTGAAGCCGTCGCTAAAAGAGAATTGGTAAACAAGGCCTCTCAAAAACACCATCTAGTTCTAATCGGAAAAAATGGGGTACTGGGCTGTTAGCGGGGGCACTGATTTCTATTTTCCTTCTAAACCTACTAGCTAATAACAAATAGCGTATTTTATAATGTTTTTCCTAGTTTTAGATTGCTAAAAAGTTCAAAAACAAAACTATATTTTTTTAAAATTCGAAAATTTTAAACTTTTTTGTCGTTTTTCTTGCATTTTCGACGAAAAAATCAAAATTTTTAGAAAGCGTCACAAGTTTACTTTGTAAAATGCAATAGAATGCTATTTACCACCGCCGTAAAAGATTACCCGGCAAAAACGGTTTCCCCTGCTAACAGCCCAGTACCAAAAATAGTTTACCACGTGTCATCAAGCGAGAGCATGACGGGGCGGGGCTGGGAGAAGCCGCTGAAGCTCGTCGAGCGGTTGTTCTGGCACACCGACCCTTCCAACGAGGCGCACAGCGAGAGCTTCGACTGCGGGGTGCGCTTGATGTCGGCGTCTTCTTCCGGCGTCCGCACCGTCGCTCGTTGAAATTCGAAGGGGTACTGGCCATTGCAGAGCGCCCGGTAACTGTCTAAACAACACGATCAAAACCTCCGCATTATGCGAACCTTTACGGGTGGCCGTCGTCGCCTCGAGCTTCTTGCGCAGTCCGTCGAGCTTCTCGTATTCGTGGAGCTGCGCGTTGAGGTGGGCCAATTTTGCTTGTTCCGTCACGCCGCCCAGCGTCATCAGCTCGATGGCCGTGTCCAGCTGCTCTTCCAGGGCCTAAATTAGCGAAATTTTGGGCGATTCCCCAATGTTACCTCATAGTCCTTGGTGACGAGCTGCTTGACCTGGGCGAAGAGCATGTTCTCCTTGTCGCAGCTGCTGAGCAGCGGCACCGGGGCAAGCACCTTTTTCAGCACCTCTTCTCGCATGGCTGAAAGGAAGGGATTAGGGAAAGTAGCGCTGCAACGGTTTAAAAAAGATAGAGACGACATTAGGTAACGTTCAGAGGAAATAATGGTATCCATATAAAAAGGCAGTTGTCTCGATTAATGAATACAACAAAAATCAAGTATAACTTTCCGCAATCACGCTGGCCGTTTTAGCATTATTATAATTTTGCTTTTTTAGGTTATAACAGCCTTTTAAAAGCTTTAATGAGACATTTAGGTTAACTGAAAAGGATTTTTAGCATTTTTAAGAAGCTAGGGGTAAGTTTTTCACGCGTTTTTCACCGATCCCGGGGTATTTTGACGCGCTGAGCCCGAAAAACAACCTCCCAGCGGGATTTTAGGTCCAAAATTCGAGCTTGGCACGTCAAATTGCCAGCATCGGTGGAAAACCTTCAAGCAAAGTGGGTCCGCTGAACCAAAATAAGGCTAAATCAGTTTGGACAATCGGGGAGCATTCTAAAGTTATCAGAAAGGGCTTCTAATCCGGAATTTCCAATTTGAAGTTTTTGATCCAAAGCGTCGAAAAAGAAATGAACGCGCTTTTTAGCTACGCGCGCCTACCGTGAACGCCCCAACCTAGCGCGCGCAAAGGAAACGGCTTGCTGTCTACAAATCGAGCGAACCACCCTTTTCCTCGCGAATTTACACCAATTTATCGAGTTTTTTCTACAAAATCTGGGTTTCTATTTATTTTTTCTAAAGCTATTTCCGGTTAGCAGATCGCTGACATTATTCTCGACTTTTCCTACGCGATTAACTCGGGTTTTAGCCTCCGGGACCCGTATTTAAGGTCCTTTCGTGCCCTCCTGTATTTCGCGCCTCCAAACGCCTAGATATACCAAGAGAAAAGGGCGTTATTTACGAGAGAAAGACTTTTTGGGGAAAAGGCGTCAAAAGGTTGCCTTTACCGGTAAATAAGCGATACGTCGCAGTTAGGCGTCTTCTGTTGTGGGCGTTCGCCGTTTTAAAATGTCCCAATGGTGCCGCCGCGCCGGAGTTGTCGACTCTTGCTGCGCGGGCCTTCTTCTTCTTCTTCTTCGTTTTCTGCATTTTGTTCAACTTTCTGGCCCAATCCTTTCTAGGCTGCCGACACACTTACATTGATTACTTTTCAGTTAGATGGGCGATTACGGCTACGGCGGCGGCGGCGGTGGAGGCGGTGGCTATGGCGGCCCGCGCGGCGGCGGTGGACCCCCTCCATTTGTAACTTAACCATTTTTCAACCTCTAATCGTTCATCATAGCGTGGCGGACGTGGCGGCCGAGGTGGTGGTCGTGGATTCGACGGCGGGCGCGGTGGTTTCGACGGTGGACGCGGCGGATTCGACGGTGGCTACGGGGGTCCCCCGCCCGGCTATGGTATTTCTATCCTTGCAATTAAATTTTCTGTTTTAGGTGGACCTCCTGGCTACGGCGGCGGAGGCGGCGGTGGCGGAGGATACGGCGCAGGTTACGGCGGCGAAGACCCGTACGCGATGATGCCTCAACAGAGCCCACTTGACGCCGAGATTCAGGTAAGAGATGTGTCCTATGCGTCTAACCCTCATTTGCAGGTGGTCATCGGCGAAATCGACAACGAGCTGACGTTGCTGGAGCAGTCGGGCGACTACGGCGCCCAATTCCGGAATGCGAAACGGTTGCTGATGACCGGTACTGAATGGACTTTTAGCTTAACTTTTTTTTGTCAGAATCCGATCGACTCCGGAATTGCATCGATCCCGAGTGGCTGGAGGTGGACGTGCCGAAGACGATCAAAGTGACAAAAAAGGTGCTCATCCCCAACTTCCGGCACCCACACGTAAGCTTTCTCCTTGTTCTCCTGACGTTCTCCTAGTTCAACTTTGTCGGCAAGATCATCGGACCGAAGGGACAAACGCTGCAGCAACTCGCCAAGGACTCCAAATGCCACATTTTGGTTTTGGGACGAGGATCGACGAAGGACAGGCAGAAGGTAATGTTTTCGACTGAATTCGAAACTATGTTACGGACAAGGAGACGTTTTTTCTACGGGCTGTCGAAATGAGAACACGCCTATTGTTCAGAATTTTTCGCTGATCCGAACTTACTGTTTAGAACCTGCGAAACAACCATATTTCAGAAAGTATGAAGCTTTGAAGTGGGAAAAATATCCAGCATGGCCAAATCGTTTTTCGATCTTTAGAGCGTCATAACTTTCTTATTTTGGTCGTTTCTGAAAAAAAAGTTTTAATCAGCGAAAAATTCTGCAGAAAAGAGGTTGGTCCCATTTCGCAACGCTGTGGAAGCTAAAGAACCTCCCTTGTACGCATTTTTCACGTTTATTTTCCATTTAGGAACGTGAGCTGCTGGAGTCGGGTGACCCTACGTTCGCACACTATGGTGGACCCCTACATGTAAAGGTATCGAATATTCTGAGGCTTTTAACACTTTTTTTTCTAGATTGAGACCATCGCCCCGGCACACGTCGCGTACACGAGAGTGGCCGGCGTTTTGGAGAAGCTGCAGGACTTGCTGCAGCCGATTCGTGGCGACAACTACCCCGGTGAAAGCGACAAGGAGAAGGACGGCGAGGCTGCGGAAGGTATCTTTTTCAGGTTGCTAGTTAGGTTTTTATCTTACCGTTTTGGCCTATCAATGAAAAAACAGCGTTGTTATATCATCTTACGCTCTTTTCAGCTTTATAAGGTCAACAAATTTGTCGAAAATCTGAACTTTTGGTCCAAAAGTTGGGAAAAATGGTTGATCTCCAAATTTTTTTTCAAATTTTCAAGTTTCTTCGGAACTAGCTTTCAAATATAAATAGCGTATGCGGTGCTAAACCGTCTTTTACGATTCTTAAACGTCTAAACTTTACAAATTTTGATAAAAAATATCAAATTTTAATTTTTGACCAAAAAATTCCGACTTAACATTTTTTTCTAGAGTTTTGAGATAGGTTTTCTAGTTGAAATATAGTTATTTTTCACTAAAAACACTATTTAAATACTTCCCATGAAGTTACTAGTCATTTTTGGGCACAAAAACTTTTTGAACCCAGTGTTCCCATGCGAATTCAAGCCAAAATGTTTTTATTTCAGGAGCCGACCAGAAGCCGAGTACGGGTGGCAGCAGCAGTCGGGGCGGTCGTGGAGGTGGATGGGCGCCGCGTGGCGATCGAGGTGGCGGAGGACCGATGCGCGGACGCGGCAGGGGAGGTGGCGGACCTGGGTGAGGAAATTTCCGCATTTCTTTTCGAATCAACCTGTCTCTAGCTTTCGTCCGTATTGATCTTCACAATGAGTGCACCATTGCCTTCCAACACCCTCGCCAAGTACCCTCACCATCATAGCAGGTATTTTGGCTTTGATTTTCTTTATTTTTGGTTCTTTCGCATTACAAGCTGTGTTTAGTAAAATTTAACTGTATTTGAAGCGGAAAAGCAATAAATAAAAAAACGCGGGAAAATTTTGGTTGAAATTTTCGTCCAAATCGGGCGATTTTTGGGTAAAGAATTTTATGTTTTGTATTTGTAATCGAAATTCGTAAAGTTTGTACTTTTAGAAACAGTAAAAGAATAGCTCAGAAATGCTTCCTGTATTGATAGTAGAAAAATCGGGTTCTTAGACAAAAAAATTTGATCCCCCGCGATAATCAAAATGAACGTTAATTTTTGCGTGTTTGCAGATTCATCCGGTTGCCGGATGTCTGACGATCGGCGACGTCACGGGTCCATTGCCCGTGCCCGTATCGACGTGAGCGGATGGCCGACTCCGTATCCACCACCTCCACCACCGACCCACCCATTCTCACCATTCCCCCGACCACGATCGTTCCCATGCTTCTGCCCTTCGTTTATACTACCAACGTTCCGGATTCCTGGGCCCATCATTATTTATTGTTACCTAGATCTCCATTCCCAGCTGCCCCCTCCCACTCCTTTTTGTTGTCTCCCACTTTTCCAGCCAGCTCCGTCGCATCTCCCCCCTGGTTCTCAGCCACTCCCTTAATTATATTTGCTGTTATGGAACGGTTGACTCCCCTCCCAAGATGTCTTTGCTCTTAATATCAATAAATTTTCGAATTCACGCGATTTCGCAGGGTTTTTTGTGGACGACGCTGAAGCTGCTATCAACAAAATGTTAGGAGAGCCGGAGATTGAGAATTCGTATGAACGTGAAGTGGCTGGCTAGACTTGTAAAATTAAGTATTTCGCCCGGAGCTGCACTAGTCATTTCTCGGTTCTTTTGCATTATCGGGGGGAGGCTTTCCTTTAAAGGGTCCTATTCTTATATAAATAGAAGAGCGGTTTCTAAACTTTTTTTTTGCTATTCCTAACTAGTAAGCGTCAAAACGGCGCTACTTCAGTTTGCTGGCCCCACTTATATCTGGCCAAAATGGCCTTTTTCTGGGTCAGTTTTTTGCGCTGGTTACGAATAACACTATCCCAGCCCGTAAAAATGACATTTAAGAAAAAAAATATAATTTTATACCAAAATCTGGAATTTCGATTTTCGTGATTTTCGAGCGATATTCGCGGGGAGGCCGAAGTCTGGCGGGTCCTGAAGCGACGTGGATACTGTAGGCACCTATAAAAGTCAGGAAAAAAGCTAATTTTTACTTCGTTTCATTTGAAGATGAACGTTGCTGGTTTGAACTCCTTGCGAGGGATAACGTATCTGGAACTGGCGGGTCCTGAAGCGACGTGGATACTGTAGGCACCTATAAAAGTCAGGAAAAAAGCTAATTTTTACTTCGTTTCATTTGAAGATGAACGTTGCTGGTTTGAACTCCTTGCGAGGGATAACGTATCTGGAACTGGCGGGTCCTGAAGCGACGTGGATACTGTAGGCACCTATAAAGTCAGGAAAAAGCTAATTTTTACTTCGTTTCATTTGAAGATGAACGTTGCTGGTTTGAACTCCTTGCGAGGGATAACGTATCTGGAACTGGTCCCGCAGTTGAAGAGGTCCCGAGAGGCATGGGTGCTTGGGTGTCTATAGATCGTACAGCAATCAAATGAAGGGCGCGATAAGCGCCCCGTGGTCCGCCAAGTTACCCCTAAGCCTAAGCCTAAGCCTAAGCCTAAGCCTAAGCCTAAGCCTAAGCCTAAGCCTAAGCCTAAGCATACGAGAGGTACAGTGATTACCTCAGTGAGTTTATGTGGCGCCAGGAGTTCGGCGATAGCGATGACATCTTCTACCACTTTTGGTCCCAGGTTGCTGCTCAGTACCCGTGCGAATGATCACTCGCTAAAAAAATACCCAACGGCCCTCTTCAGGGCCACCCGCCGAGCTCTGTTAGCAACCTCCCCGTGGTGCTTGGTGGAAGCAGCGTATCGCTGGCCATAGCTAACATTTTCCCGAAACGATGCCGTTTTAGCGAAAACAAGCGGTATCGCGGCATGAGAGCGCAGAAAGGTCGGGTTTATAGGCTCCTGGCGTACTTAGAACGCCGTCAAATCACGAAAATCGAAATTCCAGATTTTGGTATAAAATTATATTTTTTTTTCTTAAATGTCATTTTTACGGGCTGGGATAGTGTTATTCGTAACCAGCCAAAAAGCTGACCCAGAAAAGGCCATTTTGGCCAGATATAAGTGGGGCCAGCAAACTGAAGTAGTGCCGTCAAAACTACCAATTTTGCTTTTAAAATATACATTCTTCGCCCGATTTGGACCAAAATTTCAACTCAACATTTTCCCCGGGTGTTTTATTTATTGTTTTTCCTCTTCAAATAGAGTTAGATGTTACTAAAAACCATTTTAAGACACCTTCCATTATCATGGGACTCTAGAAAAATGTTTCCCCGACAATTCGAAAGAACCGATTTCTCGATCGTCATATCAATCCTCGAAACATGGCTGCTAGCGGCGGCTGTTCACTAGGGGACGAGCGACTAGACGAAGAGCGGAAGACTGGCACAAAGCGAAGAGACCAGCCCCGCACATCGATCGACCACCCGCCCTCCGGCTGGCTAGACCCCGCTTCCCGACGATTTGTACGGCTTCAGCTCGACAGGTCTTATGCGTATCAGTTGTTTTGACGTTTTATACGAAACTTTCGAATGGCTGGAGCTTACAACGGCTTTCGGCGCTTGAAATTCAGCTCAAGATCTCCTAAACCGGGTTCCTGACCTTCATTTTGACGGAATAATTTGGGAAAATCGCTTTAATAAATCTAAGTCTCTAATCTATTAACGTAATTAATCTGTAAAATTGTTTTCTACGTTTCCTGAACGTCAAAACCGTAAAAATGCTACAATTTTTTATCAAAAAAAAAAAATACAAAAACATCGGTTTTTCGACCTGAAATGACGATTTTTGGCCAAAACTTTGATTTTGAAATTTTTTCAAAGTTTTAGCTACTTTTTCTAGTTAAATAGTTTTATTTTAATAAACACTTTTTCCGTTTGATTCCCAGGGCCGGTTTCAACACCTTCCATCCACCCATCTGGTTGGTATTCCCAGTGATTCACCGGGGGGTTTTCCTCCCTCCCTCGCTCGCCCCCACAACACAGCAAATAGCGCTTCAGTCCAAAATGTTCTTTTACGTGTTTCTTTGCTTTTCTAAAAAGTCATTATCTAGCAAATCGTTTTTCGTTTCTTTCGCATTCTCTGGGGGGAGAGGACTTTTGTATAGGTCTAGAAATGTCTAGTAACTTAATAGGGAGTGTTTTAATAGAGTTTTCAGTACAATAAAACGATATTTCAACTAGACAAACTATCTAAAAACTTTTAAAATGTTCAAAAAGTCGAAACCCGGGGTCAAATCTCGGTCATTCTTCCTCGAAAAATCTATATTTTGCTGTTTTTTATCGAAAATTTTTAAAGTTTTACGTTAAGGCATTATAAAACGCAGTTTAGAAGCACCTACTCTATTTATTTTTGAAAAATTAAATCCTAAGAAAAATTCATTTCGGAAAAAACCGCCAATGCCCTTCCCTTTCGCCCCAGCCGCTTCCAGGAAGCATCCTGATTATTTGCTAGTGTCTGCGGGGGCGCGCAGACGAACTTGCTATCCAGATTGATTTCATACAGCTCGAATCAACCCCCATTTCATCGTCCCACCTTTGGGGGAATCCCCCCCCAATTTCGCAGCCTCGTTGCCCTCAGCCTGCCCTTTCTTCGTCATGCTAAATATTGTTCTGTTGATTCGAGCGGGTTGGCTAGGCGATGCTGAACTTTTTTATTGATTTTTGTATTGGGACTGCCGGTTCTTTTGCATTATCGGGGGGGGGGCTTTTTCTATAAGCCCAGAAATGTCTAGTCACGTAATAGTAAGTCTTTTAGTAGTGTTTTTGGTAAAATTCGCTATATTTCAGGTGGAAGAACAATGGAAAAAACCAAAACATTTTAATCGGTCTTGTTCTGATGAAAAGCCGATATTTTGTATTTTTATCAAAATTTTCTAAAATTTGACGTTTTGGAATACTCAAAAATAATTTATAAACACTTTCTATTTTTTTAGAATTAGAAAAATTGGTGCCTTAGGAAAAATTGCCCCCCATAAGGCAAAAGAACCAGACTGGTTAGTATATATTTTATCAATGCCTTTACATGAATGCTGCCTAGTATTTTGATCACCCTTTCCACAAGACAAATGCCAGACGCCCATCTCGGCACATTTTCCGATAACTTTTACGTGGCTGCTGCCCCATCGGTGTGTCTTGGTGGTCAAAAATAATTAAAACACAGCTGCCAGCCGTTCGGGGAAGCGTTTCAGCGTTTGCAGGCACCAAAAAAGGACAAGAATAATTGACGGGCGCCCAGACACACTGCGGCTTCACAGGCGCTTCCCGTGCATTTTTGCGCCCAAAACTATGCGCCCTTATCACTTTTGGGAAAAGTAAAAAAAAACGGGAACCCCCGCCGCCTTTCCTTGACCATTGCCCGGCCCCCAAAAACAGCGTTTCGTCGAAGTGGGCGGCGTGAAAAGTGGAGATAAATTGGGCACGACCCGGGCGATCCCCGCTTCATTATATTCCCGCCACCTGCTGCCCGCGGACTGTTAGCCTCGAAACGGACCCGAAAAAGCGGCCGTTTCGTGTTACCATGGATTCGACGGCGGCCCTATTGCATTTCCGGGCCATTCCACTGGCTGGTCGGTTGAATCTGAGCACCGGGGAGATGGGCAATTTCTCCGAGTATTCGCTTGAGAGGTAATTTAGTGAATTTTGTTCTGGTGGGGGGGATTGGGGGTGTGAATTGTGAATTGTCACTTTGCGTTTCCGCCCCAAACCGTTTTTTTTCGTTTCTGAAGACATTTTGGTGCTGTCGCAATTGGGGGACAACCGGAATTTTGGCTACAAGACGCTCCAAACGCCGTTTTTTTAACTTCTAAGCCCTGGGAAGGTACGACTAAGCGTGAGCCTAGGCTTAGCTTTATAGAAATGAAGCCTAAGCTTAGCTTCGGCTAAACAGAGCCTATACAACGCCGTTTTGACCTAGTACGAGAATTTAAAGGCTCGGGCTTAGGGAGACTTTTTTTCCGTGTCGTTGTCGTTTGAATTTGTCATTTTCTGTACCAAAACTAGCGTGTGACAATTTTGCGCTGGTTTTGGATATGTCTACGAAGTTTGCAGGTCACCATTTTTGCGAAAGTTATGAACGAACGAAATTTAGGACAGGAAAACCATCGAAAGTAGCGCATTTTGGGCGTTTCTTAGTCTTAAATCGTTCATAGCATCCGCAAAATGGCGATTCCGCCA